CTATGTCTATTATGTTGTTTGCCAAATATTATTTTTTGCTTCAATTTATTAATAATTAGGGACTCATGACGATAAGAATTAAACGTTCTCAGCAGCCTACGTAGACCCCTTTATATGTTTCTACACAGTTTTGTCTTTGCTCCTTGCATCCCAAATTGCACTTTCAGGTGCTTCAATATGGGTCCTAATGTCTCCTTATCTTGCAAATACAGGGATTCTAAAACCCGAAAATCCAAACGTTTATCGGTGATAGTATGATAGCTGGGTCCGGAAGCTCCGAGCATTACGCGCAGTTGTGAATAAGGGAAAGGACCATGTGGTCCAGAGAGGAGGCGGAGGGAGAGAGGCACACTGAGGGTGGGAATATACTTGGTAGTTGCATTTGGTGGAAGGATAGAAAGGAGGTGAGGTTTAGGATTAGGGGCTAGGGTTGGGTTAGGATTAGGGGCTAGGGTTGGGTTAGGATTAGGGGCTAGGGTTGGGTTAGGATTAGGGTAAGGGTTATACCATTAAAGAACTCTTGCATTCCTTCTATAATATCTGTGTCTGGCCAGTATCTCATCTCTCATAAAATCAAAAATCACCTGCTTCTCATACCAAGCCTTTCAGACAACTTTGTCTGCAGAATATAGCTATTTTAAAAATAAACCTTTTCAAAGGGCACTGAGGCTTGTTACCTCTCTGTTCATGCTGAGGCACTGCTATTTTAAAACAGCCCTCCTCAAAGGAAAGTTGCATATCCGCACTCTGTACAAGCTCAGAGGTACTGCTAGTTGTGCTCCTTCTCAGAGGTGTGATTTTAAAGTCCTATACCTCCCCTTTCAAATTCCTGTTTTTGACAAAAATACAAGGCCTGTTAGCACTCTGCTCAAGCTCAGAGCCAACCTTGCCAATACAGAGCCTGAAAGACACACAGAAGGGACTCAATTCATGCTCAGAAGCACTGCAGTTCCACATCACCCCCCATACACACACACATAGCCTTGCTAAAGAACAATATATCAGGCGATCTATGTAGACGCCTATACGGGTCACCAAGGACCCCTAAAGTGTTTTAGGCCTCTCCCTCACCGGGCCCCATTATTGCCCGCTCCTTTTCTCCGCTTTCTTTCCGCTTCAGCGCTCCCAACCGGTTCGGTCGAACTCTCCCCCGTCCCCGRTTTGCGAYCAACTAGGCCTGGGCGCMCCCCCGCGCTCATTCCGGTTGGATGGAACCGGATTASAAGAGCCCCTTCACCCTCCGCTCCAAATACGCACCATCTTGGCTTCAGTCTTCTCAGGGAAAAGGACGAACTCTCGCGCGGGCTGTCCCTTAAATCTCGCGAGACGGGCGGCTTCCGGTATTCACTGCGTCACACCCTCCACGAGCTTCCGTCCGTAACTCCGCCGGCTGGTAATACGCATGCGCGGCTTTCTTAAAGGGCAAGCCCAGTCCAAACAAATCCGTGTCGTAGAATCATYCAGTTGGAAGAGACTGGAAAAGTATATTATATTTCAAAAACTTTGTTTTTGCAGGAAAGACATCCTGCAGCACATTTTACCRAGTTTTTCAATGAATATCTCATTGAGTCTCAASTATAGAATTATAGAATCAGAGTTGGAAGAGACCTCATGGGCCATCCAGTCCAACCCCCTGCCAAGAAGCAGGAACATTGCATTCAAAGCACCCCCGACAGATGGCCATCCAGCCTCTGTTTAAAAGCCTCCAAAGAAGGCGCCTCCACCACACTCGGCGGCAGAGAGTTCCACTGCTGAACAGCTCTCACAGGAAGTTCTTCTTAATGTTCAGATGGAACATTACTGAATTGGTTTGGACTTCAGTTCCTATAATTCCTCGCGCTTGGGCCGGCTGGCTGAGGCCTCTGGAGGACCCAAGATAAGTCTGAATATGGGGATATTTACGATTATTTCTTTGCAGCGGCAAGGGATTGGACAGGCTCGGCCTTGTGGTTGCTTCCAACTATGATTCTATGACAGATCCGGGTTCGAATCCCCACTTGGCCATGGGAAGTCACACTCTCTCAGCCTCAGAGGAAAGCCAAGCTCATTGGGACATAGGACTGAAACCTAAGCAAGGTGGAACATAAGGCCATTAGATCTTTGCGTGCAGATCCCATCTTCCCCAACCATCTTCTGGATGCTTTGGACTATAGCTTCCATCATCCACTAGGCATGTAGCTCTCTTATCAATATATACGACAGCTACATGGCTAGTGGATAATGAAGTCATCCGCCCTTGCGCTGTGCTACTCTGCTGCTGAGTACGCATGCCCAGTGTGGAACACATCTCACCACACTAAAACAGTGGATCTGGCTCTTAATGAGACATGCCGCATTATCACAGGGTGTCTGAGTCCTACACCACTGGAAAAATTACAGTTTAGCCGGTATTGCACCACCTGACATCCGCCGGGAAGTAGCAACCAATAGTGAAAGGCCCAAGGCAGTGACATCTCCGGCCCATTCTGTTTGGATATCAGCCAGCACGCCAATGACTTAAATCAAGAAATAATTTTCTAAGATCTACAGAGACACTCGCTGGAACACCTCAGCAAGCGAGAGTCCAAAAGTGGCAGGCTCAAAGCCAGAACCTCAATCAATGGCTGATACCAAATAAGAGACTCCCCCCTGGGCACACAGAAAACTGGGCGACTTGGAAGGCACTGAACAGGCTGCGCTCTGGCACCACGAGATGCAGAGCCAACCTTAAGAAATTGGGCTACAAAGTGGAATCCACAACACGCGAGTGTGGAGAAGAGCAAACCACAGACCACCTGCTGCAATGCAGCCTACATGCACAATGGAGGACCTTCTTATAGCAACACCAGAGCCACTCCAAGTGGCCAGCTACTGGTCAAAGGACATTTAATAGAATGCCAAGTTTGCAAATTTTGTGTGTGTGTGTTTTTAAAAAATACAGTACAATTGTTTGGTTTGCTCCTGACATGATAAATAAATAAATCAATATATACAATGGGTGTTCATTAAAGATTTCCCTCATCCCACTTCTATTTATCACAGGATGCTGAAACTGCAAATGTATAATGTATTACAACTCAGAAGTGATAACAGTCTTGATTGTACAGGTGCTGAAGTGGTGAGGTGGACCCAGTGGAATACAGAGCAGTCCTTAAGTTCCTTTCCTTGAAAGGCTGCACACCAAAGGAGATGTTCAATGAGATGAAAGAGGTTGATGGTGAGGATTGCCCATCATATGATGGAGTCAAGAACTGGCATCGTCCATTCCAATGTGGTTGGACTTTGGTGCAAATAGCTCCAATTCCCAGGCGACCCCATTCTGCTATTGATGAACGCACCATCCAGCAAGTGGAGGTCGCAATTTTGGAAAATCGCAGTGTAACCATTTGCCACCTAGCCCAAAATGTCAAGATTAGTGTGGGGTCTGTGGAAAAAATCCTCCAAGACTATCTTCACATGCATAAGTTATCCACTCGCAGGGTCCTCCGGCTGCTCACACCTTTCCAGAAGCAGGAACAAGTCGAATGCTCTCAGGCTCTATTGAGAACGATGTGCCATGGAAACCAGGACCTTTTCAATAGACTGATGACACAGGGTGAAAGCTGGATCCATCACTCTGATCCTGAGACTCAAGTCTAGTTGGTGCAATGGAAGTATCATGACTCACTACCTTCAAAAGTGGCACATACCCAACTCTTGGCAGGCAAGGTCATGCTCACAGTATTTTGGAAACAGCACGGAGTACTATGGATGGATTTCCTAGCAAAGGGTCCCATGATCACTGGAGCATATTATGCTTCATTGCTGCGGAAATGGTGGAAAACATGGCATGCTCACCAAAGGTGTCCACCTTCTGCAAGACAATGCACCAGTTCACAACTCACGTTCCCCAAATGAAAGAAGCATGCTCTTGTGGCTTTGACCACATCCCCCTTATTCATCTGACCTCGCGCCATCGTACTTCCACCTCTTTCCAATAATAGTGTTATTTTTGAAGGGCAAGCATTTCTCAAGATGACGAGATTCTGATTTCCGAAGTCACAACTTGGCTTTTGGAGCAACCTGTCGACTTCTACAAGCGAGGTGTTTACAGTTGCTTACAAAGATAGGAGAAGGGTGTGTCCCTAGGTGGCACCTATCTAGAAAAGGACTAAGAACTGGGCCAAGTTTCATTGCTCTGTCCGCAGGAAATGGGTCAAGGGAAATATTTAATGTACGCTCCTCATATACAGTAGACTCCGGGGTTTGTGGGAACGCAGATAACTTAGCCCCCATGTCTATTAGGCACACTTGTTCTATAGGAAAGTCTACTGTAATAATAGTAATAATACCCAAGCCCCCATGTCTATTAGGCACCCTTGATCTAAGGAGTCTACTTTAATAATAATATTAATAATATTAATAATACCCTAGCCCCCATTCCTATTAGGCACACTTGTTCTATAGGAGTCTACTGTAGTAATAATAATAATACCCATGCCCTCATGTTTATTAGGTACCCTTGTTCTAATGGGTCTACTGTAATAATAAGAATTGGAACTCTCTTGACTGAAAAGTTCACCAAGATTTGGAAAAACACAGTAATAATAGTAGTTGTGTCCAACTCTGGGATGTGGTGCACATCTCCATTTCTAAGCCGAAGAGCCGGCGTTGTCCATAGACACCTCCAAGGTCATGTGGCCGGCATGACTGCATGGAGCGCCGTTACCTTCCCGCCAGAGCGGTACCTATTCATCTACTCACATTTGCATGCTTTCTAACTGCTAGGTTGGCAGAAGCTGAGGCTAACAGCAGAAGCTCACGGTCCACAAGCTCAGCAGCTCAGCGCTTTAACACACTGCGCCACCGGGGGCTCCACTTTGTATAACAGTAATAATAATAGGAAAAGGAACCATCTTGACCAAAAAGTTCACCTTCGTCCAAGGGGACCAACCCCAAAAGGAACTTCTGAAATTGAATCCGCAGCAGAATGGTAAGCATTTGAAGGCAGAGATGTGGAGGAAAGAAAGAGAATGACACAGTTGGTGTTTCTAATCCAAAAGTTACTTTTTCTTTATTCAAACCAAAGGGGGGGGGGGTCATCACTGGCTAGTGCAAAACGCACCCCGAAAACGGAAGTGTTTCTTCTTTTCTGTCTTTTTTTGCCTGAGGGACGACTTCAAGATCTTTGCAATGCCCCCCCCAAAGAAAAAACCCCTCAAAGATATATATATATATATATTTAAATTTTATTTTCAAAGAACTGAAAAAGCTCCAGCCTGAAACACTGTGCTTTGGAAGTGACCGCGGGGGGACCTTTTCCGAAACCAGTAACAAAACAACATGCAGTTTATTCTTCCCCTCCTTTTTTTCCTCGCCTTTTTCTCCTTCTTTCTTTCCCTCTTCATTCCCACCATTCCCTCTCTTTCTGAAGCAGTATGAATGGAAACCCTGTTTGTTTTGTTCAGCCCCCCCTTCCCTCTCTCTCTCTTTCTCTATCTCTTTAGTTTTTATTATTATTTTAAATTAAAAAAAATAACCCGGCACACGTCGTAGAAAATTTGCTCTTAAAAATCTCACAATCTGTAAAGGTATATATATATATTCTTCTTCTTCTTTCAACATAAAAGTTTACAATATAATGGTAAAACAAAAGGCTCAAGGGGAGGGGGGGAAAGGTAGGGATGGAATAAGAGAAAAAAGAACCTGAAGGGTTTGTTGTTGTTAATTAAAGCTGATGAATGTTGTTCCCCCCCTCCAAAAAAACCCTGTAGTTTTGAACCAGTGACACTGCTCTTTTATTATTTGTGCTGATGGATCGAAAGATGGAGGAAGGAGGGGGGAGGGAAGGAAGGAGAGGAGGGGTCTTTATATAAAATAACAAACTGCAGTCCAAGCATCGCGCCTTGGTGTTTCGAAGCCAATCATCCCCTTAAAGAGAGGGGGTTTGGATGCGATTGGGAAGTGGACAACAACTCCCAATTGCAGCCTCCTCCTCCTCCTCCATTCCCTCACCCCCTCCCTCCCCAAAATGTAGGTGATTGTCACAAGTTCGTGGGTTTCAAGCCGAGGTTCCGGGGCAGCGCTCCCCCCTGATTGCGACCCAAAAAGGGTCCACTTAGCGCCGGTAGGGATGGAAGCCCTGGACGTTGTGGTTGGGGCCGCGGCCAAAAGCGCTGCCTCCGGCCGGAGGGCCACCAGATGGAGGGACCGATGGGCCTCCATAGGATGGGGGCTGCGGCTGCCCCTGCTGCTGCTGCGGAGGCTGCTGCCCGGGGTCGGCGAAGGCCTGGCCGAAGCCGCTCAAGTCTTGCCCATATCCTGGAAGGGAGAGAGGGAGAAAGGAGGGAGGGGAAGGAAGGTGGGTGAGCACTCACAGGAAGGTGTCCCTGTTCCCCCCTCCCCAGGAAAATCCCACTCACCCTTTCCCAGAACCCAAAACCCATCATCCACAGCCCACAGGACCCAGGGAGCGGAAAGTGGGCATTCAAACCCATCTGTGTGGCCCCTCTGACTCACGAAGTGATATAGCACTTTGTATTTTCTATTTAGAGAGAACAAGCAGGCAACACAATAATAGTAATAACAACAATAATTAATTATAAATATAATAATAATAATAATAATAATAATAATAATAATAATAATAATCAACAACTGGTAGATTATGGGAAAGGCAGTCAAGGACCAACATTGATGCAAGTCAATAGTAGAAAACTGCTTGAAGTGCAAAAGACAAAGAGTGAATGCCGTAAAAATACAATGCAGAGCAGAAGAGAAAACTGGCAAAAGAAGGCTCTCCATTGAGAGTTCCTGGGAAAAAATTGAGGGCAAAATGGACAAGGAAAAAACATGGATGTGGCTCACAAATGGAACTTGGAAAAAGGAGGTGGAGGGCCTGATTCTTGCAGCCCAAGAACAAGCCATTAGAACCAATGCCATCAAAGCTAGAACTGAAAAGACGACGACAGATTCCAAATGTAGAATCTACAAGGAAGCAGACAAAACGCAGGATCACACACTCAGCTGCTGCAAGAAGATTGCACAGATGGACTACAAACAGAGGCATAACACCATTGGTCAGCGTATCCATTGGAACTTGTGTCACAAATACCATCTGCATGCGGCAAAGAACTGGTGGGATCACAAGCCTGAAAAAGTTACAGAAAATGAACACATCAATCTACTCTGGGACTTCTGAATTCAGACTGACCTCACAATCGTGGAAGAAAACAAAGCATGGATCATTTGATGTTGCAATCCCAGGCGACAGCAGGATTGACGAGAAGCAACTGGAAAAGCTCACACGATACAAGGATTTTAAGGATGGAACTGCAAAGACTTTGGCATAAGCCAGTCAAGGTGATCCCAGTGGTGATTGGCACACTGGGTGCAGTGCCTAAAGACCTTGGCCTGAACTTATAAACAATTGACGCTGACAAAATTACCACCTGCCAGCTGCAAAAGACCACCCTACTCTGATCTGCATGCATTATTCGCTGATACATCACACAGTCCTAGACACTTGGGAAGGGTCAAACGTGTGAACGAATACAAAAGTCAGCATAGTGATGTTGTTTGCTGTGCACTAATCCTGTTGGTATCAGCTGGATACTATTATTATTACTCTATTACATAATTATGATGATAATGACTCACAAGGTGGTAAAGCACTCTGTGTCTTCTTTTTAGAGAGAACAAGCAGTAAATAGAAGAGGAAGAAGTAGAAGAAATAATAATAATAATTTTAATTGGGAAATCTTATTACTATAATGCAGGTGATGATGATGATGAGGGCCGGGCTTCATCACGCAAGTTAAACCACCAGCTGCAATAAACCATGTCAATTGAGAGGTTGACAGTTTGAAGCCCGGGTCAGGGTGAGCTCGTGGCCTCTAGGCCAGTTTCCGCCTACCTAGCGGTTCGAAAGAAAAATGTGAGTAAATAGGTACTGCTTAAAAGCGGGGAGGTATTTAAAGCACCCATAAGGAAATGCCAGAAAAAGCTGACAATTAGATCAAAGCACGACGTTTGTGGACAAACTCTTTGGCAGGGAGATGGAGCGACAGCACCCCACCCTCCCGTGGCTGGAACCAAGCACAAGCTTCCAAGATGCTGAAGATGGGAAAAGCCTATACACACACACACACACATACTTCTATCTATATACAATTGTCTGTCTTGTCAGTGTATAAACGACACTGAATGCTTGCCGCATATGTATGTTGTGTAATCCGCCCTGAATCCCATTTGGGGTGAGAAGGGCAAAATAGAAATACTGCAAATAAATACATAAATAAATGATAATGACTCATCGGTGATAAAGCACTTTGAGAGGACAAACAGGAAATGGAGGAGGAAGAAGAAGAAGAAGAAGAAGAAGAAGGGGGAGGAGGAGAAGAAGACGACAACGAAGAAGATTTTCCAATTAAAATTATTATTATTTCTTCTTCTTACTATAATGATGATGATGACGACAATGACTCCAAGGCTGATAAAGCACTTTGGTTCATCTATTTAGAGAGAACAAGCTGGAAACTGAAGAAATAATAATAATAATAATAATAATAATAATAATAGTAATAATGTGTTGTTGAAGGCTTTCATGGCCGGAATCACTGGGTTGCTATGAGTTTTCTGGGGTATTTGGCCATGTTCCAGAAGCATTCTCTACTGAGATTTTGTCCACATCTATGGCAGGCATCCTCAGAGGTTGTGATGTCTGTTGGAAACTAGGCAAGTGAAGGATCTTCTCATATTTGCAGGAGCCTACCATATACCATGCAGCTGTGGACAAGTCAACATAGGGACCTCCAAACGCAGCAATTCCCAAACACAAATCAAGGAACATAAAAGGTACTGCAGAATGATTCAATCTGAGAAGTCACCCATAGAGAGCATCTGATGAACCAATCTAGACACAGCATATTATTTGAGAACACAGAAATGCTGGACCACTCAAACAACCACCATGTGGCTTCTCTACACAGAGAAGCCACAGAAATCCACAAGCATGTGGACAATTTCAACAGAAAGGAAAAAACCATGACAATGAACAAAATCTGGCTACCAGTATTTAAAATCTTTAAAATCAGGACAGTAACAAAAGAGCAACATTCAAAAAACAGGGGAATTCCAGACAAGAATCAACCAGGGCCAGCTAACACCCCCAACAAAGGATCCCCCAGGCAGGAAGCACCCAGACTTTGAAACTGCAAGGCCATTCAATGCTATTCAAGGTGGCCAATTGCAACATTCACACTTGCCTCCAACAGACAAGAGTTCTTTCTCCCACCCTGGACATTCCACAGATACATAAAACTCACTTGTCTAGTTTCCAACAGACCTAAAAACCTCTGAGGATGCCTGCCATAGATGTGGGCAAAACATCAGGAGAGAATGCTTAGGGAACATGACCAAACAGCCTGGAAAACTCACATCAACCCAGTGATTCCGGCCATGAAAGCCTTCGACAACACAATAATAATAATAATAATAATAATAATATAAATTATTATTATTATTATTATTATTATTATTATTATTATGCACTTCCAGATGTTGATTGACATATTGCTCTGGAATGAGAGAGAAAAGGGCATGACACGATGGTACCCCAAACAGACTTAAAAGGGTCTCCCCACCAAATCATCTCTCATTCTATGGGGCCCATAAGTCCAAGATGCCCTCATTCTTAACCAAAATCAACCAAGATGCAGGGTCCGGATGACACATCTTTTGCCAGTTTGCCAGAATGCTTCCAAGCAAATCCTCCTCTTGAATGAATTGACCTATGTAAGAGAAGGGAGTGTATAACCAAATGCAGGCTTGCTCTATCAGAAACGTGCGTAAAAAGAGGAGTAACAAAGCCACTGAATAAGAGGAGGCTGCTCTCGAAACATGACTCCTGTCGTATAAGATTTTGGGCAGAGGAAAGGCTTTACTTGGGCCTCCCTGCAGCTTCCAAAAGGCCAGTGCCCTGTTCTGTGGGTCACCTCTCCCCGACTTCTCCTTCGTGAAACCACAGCCTTCCACTGAGTTTTATCAGAGGCAACGTTGTCCGCAAAATGCCCTTCCATCACTGTGACATGTCTTTAAAAAAACAAACAAACATCTGGACCTGCATCCAGCCAAGGTTCAGCATCAGCCAAAGCAGATGTAAACAACTGCTTGTTTTCTGAAAAGACACCGCCTTTGGCTTCTCAGTGAGAAGAAAGCAGGCCTTGGAAAGAGAAGTGCATGACTGGGTCAGGCCTCTTCAACCTGTGGCCCTCTAAGCGTTTGGGCCTCTGACTCCCAGAAGCCATTGTCAGATTGTCCAATGGCTGGGAATTCTGGGAGCCGGAGTCCCTAACACCTGGAAGGCCACAGGTTGAAGAGTCCTACTTTAGGTTTTCCAAGCTTTTCCTTCTGGTTCTGTGTCAAGAGAGAGGGGATATGTTGTCGAAGGCTTCCATGGCAGGAATCACTGGATAGCTGTGTGTTTTCCGGGCTGTATGGCCATGTTCCAGAAGCATTCTCTCCTGATATTTCACCCACATCTATGGCAGGCATCTTCAGAGGTTGTGTGGTCTGTTGGAAGCTAGGCAAGTGAGATTTATATATCTGGAATGTGCATATATCTGTGGAATGAACAAAATCTGTCAACCAGTATTAAAAAAACTCTAAAATCAGGATAATAAATAAAGAGCAATACTAAAAAAACAGGGGAATTCCAGACAGGAAGCAATCAGGGCCAGCTAATGCCTTGTAACAAAGGATTCCCCCAGGTAGGAAGCAGCCAGGCTTTGAAGCTGCAAGGCCATTCAATGCTAATCAAGGTGGGCAATTGCAACATTCACAATAGACAAGAGTTCTTTCTTCCACCCTGGATATTCCACAGGTATATAAACCCCACTTGCCTAGTTTCCAACAGACCTCACAACCTCTGAAGGTACTGCCATAAATGTGGGCGAAACATCAGGAGAAAACGCTTCTGGAATATAGCCATACAGCCTGGAAAACTCACAGCAACCCAGAGAGGGGATAGCTTTGATTTTGCATGACCATCTTACGATTTTGCTTTAAAAAGCAGGGAAAACTGGTCCGGTTATATGGAAACAGACACAATCGACGGCCCTCAATGCCTCTAATAAGGATAGAGAGTGTAGTGTTCGCATGGTTTGGATACCCTGCGGCTGGGAAGCAAGCAAAGTCCGAATGAGAACGGAACAGGGGGCCCACGGCAGAGGGCCAAGGAGCCCCCCACCCCTCGAAACCGGCAACCCCTCTGTAAGGGAACAGGCAACGAGTTAAGTACATCTCTCCCACCACACAAGCCATGACAAGCAAGAAGAGGGTTTGGGGGTAAAAGAGGCGCCACCTACCTAGGATAACTCACTTCTCAGCCTGACCATAAGTGTGTAAACAAAGTATGGGCCCGAAGCCTGATGGGTCTTGAGAATAGGAACCCAGCCCTGGCGAGAAACGGAGACCAGGGTGACTAAACCCTCACGAGAGCCCTGCGCACCACCTGCCCTTCCCTCAGGACTAACCCACAACGCCGCGTTCAGGTTCGGGCTGAGCCTTTCCGCCCCCGCCCCCGAATGAAGGGAGCACACTTGAAGGGGGGAACATGCAAGAGGGTCGTGGTGGGAGACTCTGGGACGGTGATAGGAGAGTGGGAGGGATCAGAACTGAAATACACTTCTAGCATGAATAGGGAGAGAGAAAACCAACTGCATGAAACCTCGGACAGTTCTCAAGTTACAAACAACTCCTAGTTAAGAACGAGGCTGAGACAACAGGAAGTGAGAGGAATCTACCCCTTGAAAGGGAAATGCACTCCTGAAATACTTCTTATTATGGGGAAAAGATGTCTCCACTGAAGCTTTATTACCAACCCTTGTTTCCATAACAAGCCAAAGTTTTCAGAATCCAATTATTATAAGCACAGAAAGTGGGGTGAAATCTGAACAGGGTCTGCAGCTAGCACAGTGGGTTAAACCACCAGCTACAGAAGATCTTGCTGATCGGAATGTTGGCAGTTCAAGCTACCACTGTCAGCCCTAGCTTCTGCTTCTCTAGCAGTTCAAAAACAGCAATGTGAGTAGATCAATAGGTACCGTTTTGGCGGGGAGGTAAAAGGTGCCCCGAAAAACATGCTGCAATTCGATCAGGAAGGCGTCCATGGACAACAGGCTCCTTAGTGTGGAAAAATGAAACACCCCATGGCTGAGTCGAGCACAGCCTCCAGAAGCCAGAGATGAAAAAATAGGGAAACTTTGCCTCTGTTTATGTACTGTCTGTCTTTGTTGTCAATTGTATAATGCAATGAATGTTTGTCATTCGCTTTGAGTTCCCTCGGGGAGATAGAGTGGAATATAAATAAAGTATATTATTATATTATTAACAGGGACACAGACAGCAAAACAAAAACCACAAAAAGGTGTTAACCTTTCCCTATGCCATCCAAAGCTAAAAGATACATACATTTTTGGATGGCGTTAACACTTAAAAAATGCACCTGTTCCGACTTATAAACAAAATTCAACAAGAACAAACCTACAGAACCTTTCTTCTTTGTAACTTGGGGACTGCCTGTATCCCAAATAAGGCTAGCCTGTTCCTACTTCCCCAATACGCCGTTGGTCAGGAGAGACCACATCTTAACTGTCCTGCTTTTCAAGTGCGCTTTCCCTCCTCAGTGAGGATTCTGGGTGAAGCCATCCTAAGAAACATGAGAAGTGGGACACAATTCAAAACCCAAAGAAGATAAGACTGTTATTGTCAGGATAGAGCAGTGGGGTGACTGCATTTTTGGAGGGGGAAGAAAAAAGCAAAACTTTAAAAAAATGGCCATGTGTCCTGACAATAGCCTAGAATTAAAAGGAGTCCAAAGAAAATTTCAAATGCCCTTTGTTTTTTGTTTGTTTATTTTGCAGTCTTTGAAGGCTTGTAAATGATTTCAGGTCCTTTCCTAAACCTCAGCATTCCTCAAATGACCCAGACAGGCCTCAAAATATGACAATAATGCCCCTGAAGCTGTTGATAACCCTTTTCCCCAGTCCTTTAGGCATGCTGGGGGGATAATATGGGCCCCCAAAGTCCCACAGTTGCTCCTCAAGGCTTCCAATGAATGCCAAATGCTTAACCAGTGGTTCTCAACCTGTGGGTTCCCAGATGTTTTGGCCTTCAACTCCCAGAAATCCTAACAGCTGGTAAATTGCCTGGGATTTCTAGGAGTTGTAGGCTAAAACACCTGGGGACCCACAGGTTGAGAACCACTGGCTTAAGCCCTTGCTTAAAGGAAGGGATTATTGTTCTGCACCTCTACCATCATATTCAACTACCTCCATGACTTTTATACTGGGCTCAGCAGATCTCCTGCTGGCACAAGAGATCCTACTTGAACGCCCAAGAAGGAAGAGACATTGAGACATTTGTGAGGATGGCAGTGAATCCTCTGTGCACTCGTTCTGCATTTGTCCCTTGAAAGTGCTCTTTTGCCCCAAACCATAATGGATGACAACAGGAAGAGAGACAGCAGGAACGAGTCTAGATGTCTTTCCCTTGAAATCTGACATGACAAATACTGGGGGAAGAGTGTCTTGAGGGGTGAAACAGGGGCTTGGAATTGTGGGGTGCCTTTGGCTGAGATGGAACGGTCTACAGGCCTTGCTTTCAACAAACAGGGAATGAGGGAAAGATGTTATGAAAAATGTCCTAAATTGGAGTGAGATTCGGAACAGGTACAATATTTAAGTGTAACTCCAGCCAAAGGGGCCACAGTGGCGCAGCAGGTTAAACCACTAAGCTGTGCAACTTGCTGACCAGAAAGTCGGTGGTTCGAATCTGCGGAACGGGGTGAGTCCCTGTCATTAGGCCAGCTTCTGCCAACCTAGCAGTTCAAAAACATGCAAATGTTAGATCAATAGGTACCACTTTGGTGGGAAGATAATGGTGCTCCATGCAGTCATGATGGTCACATGACAATGGAGGTGACTATGGACAATGCCAGCTCTTCGGCTTAGAAATGGAGATGACCACCACCCCCCAGAGTCGGAGTCGGCTATACTTAATGTCAAGGGGAAACCTTGACCTTACCAGCCAAAAATATGCATGCACGCATACTTTTGATCCCTGTGGTCCCTGTTTTGCTATCTGTGCCCCTGTTCAAAAGATTCCACCCCACTTTCTGCCCCTGGATTTTGAAAAAAAATGGCTTGGCTTGTTGTGCAAAGAATGACTGATGAGAAAGCTTCAGTGGAGACACCTTTTCCCCCTTTCTTTCAGGAGTGGATTTCACTTCCGAGGGGAAGATTTCTCTCACTTCCTGTTGTCTCACCCCTGCTCTTAACTATGAGTCATTTGTAAAAGTTGGATGTTTGTATTGCATTGAGAAGAGATGTGGCAAAAACAGACCTAATGCACAAATATAGCCTCTTACCATTTGGGCCTCGGGGGAGACGGGACACTACCAAACCTAACTTCAGGGAACGCTGTGTTTCTTCTTGTGCAAGGGACACCCTCTTTTGGAGTAAATTAAATTGTGTTGGCCTGGATTTTCTGCAGGCACACACATACACACACACACAAACCATGTCTGATGACTTTATAAATTCCCTGTAAGGCCTAGGCTTTGGGCTTAGAGATGATCAATCAACATGGATTTACAGTTTGTGTTCCTCAGACCGGCAACCATTTTCAGCTAGCTGGGTTCAACAGATGCACCTCTGGCCTGTTCCTGTGGATAAGTACTCTATTGCTGACTGGAGTTCCGGGGTCAGCATTCACATAGGTCTTGACTCTCAAGAACGGGGGTCCCCAAACGATGGCCTGTGGTCCAGATGTGGCCCTCCAAGGTAATTTACCTGGCCTAAAACCTTAGACTGAGAATCGCCTTCAGTCTGGAACGACTTGAAGGCACACAACAACAATAATCTGAATTAACTTGACTCTTGCATGAGACAAAACCAGGCCCACATTTCCCGTTGATTAAAATTGTTCTTCTTTTTATATATTGTATTGTTCTTTCATGTTTTTCTGCACTACAAATAAGACATGTGCAGAAAGGAATCCATTCATGTTTTTTTTCAAACTATAGTCCGGCCCCCCAACAGTCGGAGGGACTGAGAAATGGCCCTCGGCATGAAACATCTGAGGACCCCTGCTCAAGAGGTTCATCTATGTCGCAAAGACACGCCAGGGTTTTTCTGTTTTAAGGACAAAACACCCTCGTTGCACCCAACTGTCATGCAAATCCCTGATGCTGTGCTTTGTGAAAAAGAGCCAACCAAAGGGACGTGGGGGTAAATGAAACGGCGGAGGAGGCAAGCAAAGGGTGAGGCAGCCCACTTACCAAACTGACTGTAGGGGAATTCTGGCTGGCCAGTCGGTGGCTTGCTCATGTCCTGAGTTGGCTGAGATGGTGGTGGCGGTGGTGGAAAGGCGAGGGGGGCAGCCCCAGGGGTGGCCGGCGGAGGAGGGACGCCAGGCGGGGCAAACTGGTCAGGCGGAGGAGGTGGAGCACCATAGCCGAAGCCTGGGGGGAACAAATAAATAATAATAATAATAATAATAATAATAATAATAATAATAATAATAAAACTTTATTTGTACCCCGCTACCATCTCCCAAGGGACTCGGTGCGGCTTACATGAGGCCGAGCCCACAATACATCAGTAATAAAAACAATAACAACAAAACAATAAAATAAACTCATAAACAAAAAATAGGCAGTAAACATCAACAATAACACAATAACATTTAAAAACCTATGGCTGGGCCAAATGTAATAATTAAAATTTTTAAATAATGCTGAGCAAGACCAGGTGAAATATAACTAGGATAGAATTTCGGAAAAGAATGGGACAGTCCTAGATCACTAATAAAGTGCAATTAGGGACATATTGCTGGGAGTTTCCTTATTCTGGGAAGGCACACTGGAACAACCACGTTTTCAGGCTCCTCTTAAAGATTGCCAAAGTTGGGGCATGCCTGATGTCCTTAGAGAGTGAGTTCCAGAGTCGGGGGGCCACCACCGAGAAGGCCCCCTCCCTCGTCCCCAACAATCGCGCCTGCGATGCTGTCGGGATCGAGAGCAGGACCTCTTCAGATGAACGAAGAGATCGTGTGGGTTTGTACACAGAAATGCGGTCACGCAGGTAGGCAGGTCCCAAACCGTTTAGGGCTTTGTAGGTAAGAACCTGCACCTTGAATTGGGACCGGAAAATGAATGGCAGCCAGTGGAACTCCTTAAACAGGAGGGTTGACCGCTCCCTGTAAGGAGCCCCAGTTAACAACCTGGCTGCTGCCTGTTGGACCAATTGAAATTTCCGGGCCATTTTCAAGGGCCGCCCCACGTAGAGTGCATTACAGTAGTCCAATCTGGAGGTGGCTAAGGCATGGACCACCCTGGCCAGATGCGCCTTCACAAGGTACGGTCGCAGTTGGCGCACGAGTCTTGATTGTGCAAAGGCCTTCCCGGCCACCGCTGACGCCTGAGCTTCAAGCGTCAGTGATGAGTCCAGGAGGATACCCAAACTGCGGACCTGTGACTTCAGGGGGAGTGCAACCCCGTCCAACACAGGTTGCCACCCTATACCCCGATCTGGTTTATGATCTACCAGGAGGACCTCTGTCTTGTCGGGATTGATCTTCAGCTTGTTCGTCCTCAAGAAGAGGGCGCACACAGGATTGCTGAGGATGACCTGGGAAGCACACCAAAATATCTGGGAGTAATCTAGCATTCTATGATTCTATCTATCTATCCATCCGACTAGGATTCTATGATCCAGTCATAGGAGCGTGCTTGCTCCATCCATGTTTAACATTTACACAAATGATCAGCCATTGCCAGAAGGGACAGAGTTTCATCTGTGCTGACGATTGTGCCATCACTGCTCAAGTAGGGAGTTTTGAAATGGTTGAACAGAAGCTCTCCGAAGCTTCTGTTCAACCATTTCTCCTCTGTTTGCTATATGCCATATGAAAGGGTAGGAAAGGGTTAAGGGAGAGGGAGTGGGCAGGATCGTGCAAATTTGACACCAATGAAGACAGAAAGGGCTGTTGGACATGTTAATGGTGCTTGCTATAACCTGAAATGTCACTGGTATTGCCTGAGCAGTGGGAGCTATAGCTGTTTGTGGAGGCAGGAGCTGGTCTGTGCAAGTGGACACTCCAGCCACATACACACATACATATTTTTACCTTTATTATGTGTATAGATAGATAATAATAATATTTATTATTATTATTACTACTCACTGAAGGGTGGAGGAGTGGCATATCCCTGTGGGAATCCCTGTGGGGGTGGGAAGCCTCCTGGAGGTGTTGAGACGATGTACGAGGTAAACGGGGGTGGTGGCGGCGGAGCGCCTCGGCCTGGAGGCGGGGGGCCGTATCCACCTGGGAAAAGGGGAGCAAAAGGAGGAAGAGGATCCAATAAGAAACAGACGGCAGCGAGGAGGGAGTCACCCACACACCTGAACTGCCCCCACCCCTTGAATGAAGACCAATGACCAATTTGTTACATCAGCGTCCTGTAAGCGATCATATTCTTCCTTGTTCCCCAAATGTACGAGGGTTCTCTGGAAAGTAAGGTTACAAGGCACATAGCTCTCATGGGGAATTTTCTCGGTGGAAGTTGGTATCACTGCCATGTAGCAGGAAACCAGCAGAAGTGAACGAGCAGTGCCAGTTGTCAGTAGGTCATCGACTGGCATTGTGGTGAAGGTTAGAGATGAGTGTCCTCATTCCGTTTCCCTTTAATTGCGAAGTTCGTGCTGTAATACGCTACCTAAATGCTAAGGGCATGAATGCAGCTGCGATTCATCACAAAATCATTTCAGTTTACGGAGAGGACGTAATGTCAAGACGGCATGTGACAAAATGGGTACGGAATATATTGGGAAAACATGAAGAAACTTCACAGAGTCATCCAACACTTTTCCGATGAAGAGGAGGTTAAAATCAAAGTGATGAACTGGCTGAAAAAGGTGGAGGGAAACTTCTATGACACAGGCATCAAAAACTCGTCCCACGGATGACAAAAGGTATTGAACTGAATGGTGATTATGTGGGAAAATAATGTAATATCTATTCTATGATCCATGTAAGTTTTATTAAAATATATTTATTATTTGTATTTTTAAAAAATCCTGTAACCTTACTTTCTGGGCAACCCTCATATATTCTTATATTTCAGGGTTTGCATGCTCCAGGAAACAGATCCCCATAACAGAGGGGGGGGGGGGGCTCCATGGCATAAGTGTACACGGAATATAAAGTGGCATAAGACAGAACATTGCTTAAGGATGGTTAACTTCATTCTCACTACCACTTCTCAGCTACAGTATACCCAAGCACCCTTCTCAGACACTATCCACTGACAGTCTTTTGGAATCAAAGAGCTGGAAGGGACCACAAGGGCCCAACAGTCCAACTCATGGCGTCTGGATGCAACTCTCATGTGTCCTCAAAGGCACACAGTTAGAACAAAATATTCTATTGCGAAGGGAGGGAACAGACCAGAGAAAGACAGAAAGAGGATTTGGGCACAGCTAAAAACGGACCCATTCTATGCAAAATAATAATATTACCAGATATAAGTTAGAACCCCCTTCGAACTGGCTTAATTTCTAGGCTGGAAATACAGTATAATGGTGATAACCGTAGAATCCTAGAGTTAGAAGAGACCCCAAGGGCCACCCAGCCACACCCCCTTCTGCCAGGCAGGCAAAGCACAATCAAAGCGACCCCCGACAGATGGCCACCCAGCCTCAAGTTATAATAATAATAATAATAATAATAATAATAATAATAATAATAATAATAATAGCAATAATAATAATAATAAATCTTACATGATACAAGAATTTAAAGATAGAACTGCAAAGACTCTGGCACAAGCCAGAGTCAAACTGGGTGCCGTGCCTCAAGACCTTGGCCTGCACTTAAAAACAGTCGGTGCTGACAAAATTACCATCTGTCAGCTGCAAAAGGCCACTCTACTTGGATCTGCATGCATTATTTGCCAATACATCACACAGTCCTAGATACTTGGGAAGTGTCTGACGTGTGATCAAATGCAAAAGCCAGCATAGTGATCTTGTTTGCTGTGTACTAATCTTGTTGTGTATCAAATAATAATATCTTTATTCTTATAATCCCGCCTTCATCTCCCTGAAGTGACTTGGGGTGGCTAACATATATACACAACAAGAAAGTGCCTAAAATAGAACATAAAATAAGCACATAGTACAATACGAAAGAATAGAACATATAACACATAAGGAAAACAATTTAAAACTCAAGACAACACCCAATGACCTATGGTGACAAACTACTGAAAACATGGTCAGAGTGTAAACAATAAGAGAAGGGGATGGGATAGTGCAAATTGTAGCTAAGGAACAAGGTCATGGGATGAAGTGCAGTGCCTCCAAAGTACTTCTGTGATTGCTGTAGGTATTACTGTTGTTTTACAGCCACAGTTCAGCAAATAAAGTGATGGATTCATTCAGTGTGCAAACATCCAGATTTTTTTTCATGTCAGGAGTGACTTGAGAAACTGCAAGTCGCTCCTGGTGTGAGAGATTTGGCCATCTGCAAGGACGTTGCCCAGGGGACATCCAAATATTTTGATGTTTTACCATCCTTGTGGGAGGCTTCTCTCATGTCCCCGCATGGGGAGCTGGAGTTGACAGAGGGAGCACATCTGCGCTCTCCCCGGATTTGAACCTGCGACCTGTCAGTCTTCAGTCCTGCCGGCACAAGGATTTAACCCATTGCGCCACCGGAGGCAATGATTAATTTTTCATCATTTCAATTACGACATTCAGAGCGCAATAACTCAAGCTTCACAAAGATGTCTAAGATGAAATTATGAGGGGACATCAGCCATAAAATAACATCCTCATCTTACCTGGCCTTAAATATATATATATATATATATATATTTAAAAATGAGGAGAGGGGAATGGCTTTCTGAAGCTGTTCTGAGAGTCCTGCCAGGAGAACCAAGTTTCTGGGTTGGGATGCTTTCCTTCCTAGCCAAGTCTTCGGTCCCAGGCTCCTGTTTGAACCTCCAGGAGATCCAACAAGCCTGATGCCTCCTATCCTACTCTCAAAGGCCAACATGTTCCAAGCATACTTACCTAGTGCTTGTCCAGCTGGGACCCACATACCTGTAAGGGGAGAGGGAGAGAGAGACACACAAAAGAAGAGTTGTTCAAGCCACTGCAGGCCTTTCCCCCGGAGAGTGCAGGCCTCGCATGGCTTCATTGCCCATAAAGATGGTGAGTATGTCAAGCGATGCAAAGCCCTCTAGACAGGGCACTGGCCTTACCTGAAATCATTCTGAAAGGTTGGGGGTAATTTCCCAAGAATCTCAAGAGGCCATCAGGGACTCCTAAGAGCAAAAGGGCCACGTACAACGTGGGGGAGAAAGCGCTAGGTTCACGGCAACCAGGGCCCGTCCTCCAGCCCCCGCCCAGACTCCCGAAGCATGGCATTTTCTCAGCTTCAACCTGACCCAGACCTCCCTTGGTGGCTTCGGTGGCACTTCTCAAACCAAGAAATATATTTCTCTTTCCTTTTCCCTCCCAAGTACTTCTAAAAACTCTTCGTGCTGCCTTCTGCCAGGCATCAGGCCTATTACCCATCAGGTATAATGAGTCCTGCGGTTACTATTCTGTTTTTATTATTATTACTATTATGTTTGGGTTGCTGTGAGTTTTCTGGGCTGTCTGGCCATGTTCCAGAAGCATTTTCCTCTGACGTTTTACCTACATCTATGGCAGGCATCCTCAGAGGTTGTGAGGTCTGTTGGAAACTAGGCAAGTGAGGTTTATATACCTGTGGAATGTGCATATATCTGTGGAATGAACAAAATCTGGCTACCAGTATAAAAAAGCTCTAATATCAGGACTGTAAATAAAGCACAACACTCAAACAAGGGGATTCCTGACATGAAACCATCAGGGCCAGCTAACACGTCTCAACAAAGGATTCCCCCAGGCAGGAAGCAGCCAAGCTTTGAAGCTGCAAAGGCCATTCAATGCTAACCAAGGTGGCCAATTGCAACATTCTCACACTTGCCTCAAACAGACAAGACTTCTTCCTTCCACCTTGGATATTCCACAAAAATATTAACCTCACTTGTTTAGTTTCCAACAGACCTCACTACCTCTAAGGATGCCTGCCATAGATGTGGGCAAAACGTCAGGAGAGAATGCTTCTCAATCAGGGCCATCTAACACCTCCCAACAAAGTATTCCCCAGGCAGGAAGCAGCCAGGTTTTGTAGCTACAAGGCCATTCAATGCTAATCAAGGTGACCAATTGCAACATTCACACTTGCCTCCAACAGACAAGTTTTTTCTTGCCCCCCTGGACACTCCACAGATATATAAATCCCATTTTCCTAGTTTCCAACAGACCTCACAAGCTCTGAGGATGCCTGTCATAGATGTGGGAGAAACGTTAGGAGGGAATTGTTCTGGAACATGGCCAAACCGCCCAGAAAACTCACAGCAACCCAATGATTCTGGCCATGAAATCTTCGACCACACATTATTATGCTTATTTATATCCCACTTTTTCTCTCCATAAGGAAATTTAAAGCAGCTAACATTAAAAGCATTACAATACAATTTAAAATATACAGATACACAAATATTAAAACTATTCTGCCACTGTTCACTGTCTCAAACTGTCACCTGAACCTGAGAGTGAGTAAAGTGTTCCACCCTGAATTTCAGTTCCCCTCCCTGCATGATATCTAACACAAATAATTCTAGAACTGTAATACGTCAAGAGCATATACATTTTGGGAGAGTTGGTATACAGGCAGTTCCCAAGTTACAAACAAGAGAGGTTCTGCAGGTTTGTTCTTAATTTCTATGTAAGTTGGAACAGGGACATTTATAAAGTGTAACTCCTGCCATATGTATCTATCTATCTATCTATCTATCTATCTATCTATCTATCTATCTATCTATCTATCTATCTATCTATCTAGCTAGCTAGCTAGCTAGCTAGCTAGCTAGCTAGCTATCTATCTATCATCTATTATCTATCTATCTATCTATCTATCTATCTATAAGCTTTGGATAGCACAGGAAAAGGTTAACACCCCTGTAATGTTTGCTTCTCTGTCTTTGGCCCCGTTCAGAAGATTTCACCTCACTTTCTGTCCCTGTGAGAACTGGACTTTGAAAAAATGGGCTTGCTGTGGAAACAAAGATTGGAGATAAAGATTCAGTGGAGACCCCCTTTCCCCATGACAATAACTCTTCCAGGAGAGAATTTCCCTTCCTAGGGATAATTTCTCTCACTTCCTGTTGTCTCAGCCCCGTTCTTAACTTAAGTTAGATGTTCGTAACTCAAGGACTGCCTGTATATCTAGTATCCTCCTATCCTTTGCTGTATCTTCTTGCCGGATAGATTTTCGAACTGGTATGCATTTGTTTCAATGCCAGATGGCTCAGCCTGAATGCTCGCATCTAGACTGTCAGGCTGTGAAATAATCTGCTGCCTTTGATTTATCTGTTGAGCCCTAAAAAAGGTCAGCATTTCCTCTGCAATTAGACCCTTTCCACATGTTCATCTTATCGACTGCCACCGGATCCGTTTAGTTGGAGATGGGGCTTTCTGGGACCAAACTGTAAATTATCAACAGAGAGAAAGCCCCTGTCCAAGACCTGACCCTGTGGAAGTTCACATCAGTTTCTGTACAATGCGAGAGAGGGAGAAAAGAAGTGCTGCCCAACAGGTAAGGTTGAAACTTGCCTGGGGCTTAATGAAAGGTGACAATATGGCAATATTAATACTGTATTTCATCACATAATAGTCGCACACACATTTTGGGGGCAGCAAAATTTTTGTGCTTTGGGTTCCTCGCATAATAGTCACAGAGCCATTCAGGGCTGATTCTCCCTTCCTTATCCAAAGGTAAGGCAGTTTAAAATATATGAAATGGAGATCACTAGAGCTCCGCTCTTCCCTCCTTCCTTCAAGGCCTTGAATCAGTTTAAATAACATGAAATTGAGGTTTCTGGAACTTGGATCCTCTAAAGCAGTGATTCTCACCAGGTGTTTTGACCTTCAACTCCCAGAAATTCTAACAGCTGGTAAACTGGCTGGGATTTCTGGGAGTTGTAGGCCAAACACTTGGGGTCACACAGGTTGAGAACCACTGCTCTAAAGAGCTCCATTTCAGGTTTTGTAAACTACTAGGGGAGAAGAGTAACACTTCAGAGACCTCCATTTTGGAGTTTTTAAACTGTCTTGCCTTTGAGCGAGGGAGGAAGGAAGGAAGAGCCCCAAATGGCTCTGCAGTTTTCAAAAAACTGCCTTGCCTTTGGAGAAAGAAGGAAGAAAGGGAGAATCGGTCCCAAATGACTCTGTGACTATTATGTGAGGAACCCAAAACACGGCAATTTTGAAGGGAAGAGGGAAGAGTAGAGCTCCAGAGATCCCCATTTTATGCTTTTTAAACTGCCTTGCTTTCTAGGTAGGTAGATTGGTAGGTAGGTAGGTAGGTAGGAAGGAAGGAAGGAAGAGCCCCAAATGGCTCAAATAAAAAACCAGAAATAGAGCTGTTTCTTTGAGGCTGGATCATCCCCCCTCCTCCTCTCCTTTTGGAGGTAAGGTAATTTATTTAAAAGCAAAACAGAAAACAGAATAACACACAGATCTTTATTCCTCACATAGTAGTTGCACTCCACCCACTTTTCATCAGCTATTACACGAGGATCATGCTGCGTGCGTTGGTGGGGGAGTGCGACTATTACGTGATGAAATGTGGCAAACCCCTGGCAAACCAACCTGCCCAGGGGCTGAAGCTGAGGGGACCCCCGGTACCTTGAGGTCCGTATCCTTGCTGCCAGGTCGGAGGGGGCTGCCCGGCCCAGCCGTTGGCCGCGCTGGGCATGATGCGGCTGCCCCATTGGCTGGTGCTGGTGGGGCCAGGAGCCTGGTTCTTGCTATCCCGGGGCTCGGCCCGCTTCACCTCCACCTAAACAAAGAGGTCAAGGTGCTCAGGCAGAGGAGCCCGTGGGTGGGTTGGCCCCCCTCTTCCCTTCACACACACCGTTAAAAGTTCCGCTTAACAAAAAGATAAGACCTTAGCACCTTATAACTTATGGCTACATACTTTAAAAACAAAAAGAACAGGAACTTATTATTACTTGTTTAAAGGCCTCTAGTTTAGGAAAAAAAGAATGTTTCTCAGGTACAAGGGGCATCACAGTGAGCTGCTCTGAAAGGACAGTGAGATTAATGTAATGTCCCCAATGTGTAGTTGCTCTTCTATTAGGTTATCTTAAAAAGGTGGATTGCTGCTTGTCGCAGGCAATTCTGGCGTTGGAAAAGCAAAGCTTACAAACAAGGCTGAAGACAGCCACCTAGATAAGGTGCTACAGCTTTTAAGCCAGACCTTAGGGATATTTGGGGAGGAAAGTGGTGGGACCAAATGCCGAAATCCGCCACTGACAGATCGCAATTTCAGTTTCAACCATACCTGAGAAACACACACTTGGTTTCCAGTTGTATTTCTTTCTTTTTTAAAAAAATGCCTTTAAAAAACTTTTAAAAGGTTTATTTTTTAAATTATTATTTAAAAGTCTAATGGAAGATAGAGACTTACCTTCCCCAGGCTAACGCTTAAAGAACCTCAATTAACTCAAACAATGTCAGAAGGAATGGATGTGATAAGAGAACCTTACATTACATCTAACAAAAAAGTAAACAAACATGCAGGTAATAAAAAATGGACAGTTGAGTCAATAAGAAGCAAAACCTTCATACTGTGTTACGTCAGGAGGGGAGGGAGGGGAGCGTTCTTTGCAAACGGAGGGAAAGAGCCCAGGCTTAAACCACCCCCCAAAAATGCACCCCAGTCATTTTAGCCATTCAGATCACCTTACTGGGCCTCCTATCTAATATAAGCCTTACAGAGAAATACCCAGTTTTAATCCAATAATAAATAAGAGTAATAACATTTATATCCCGCCACCATCTCCCTGAAGGGACTTGGGGCAACTTACAAAGCACTCCAGGGTGCACATATAACATACAACAGCACACAGAGGAGAAGCTTGTCTTAAAACCTCTCTTTGAATCTGAACAACAGGGTCAGGGAGAAAAAGCCAAGGAACATACTGAAATGTTCAATCCAAAACCTTTGGAATCTGAACATCTTTTGGCCCAAAGTGGTGCAAAAGCTGCAGCAAACTCCCACAACTTCGGTATCCACCTCATGGAGACATGGCCACAGACTAAGGCCCCAGGTTCAACTCTGTCCAGAGACTATAATGTGTTTTTAGGCAGGAAAGACGTATTTTGAAGGAGGACAAGAGGCACCAAACCCTGGCACTTTTGAAAAGTGGATGCCTTCTGGGTCTGATCTCAACTGTAATTGGATTGGCATCAAATAACAACAACAATATTTTTTGTGTCAGGAACGACTTGAGATACTGCAAGTCGCTTCTGGTGTGAAAGTATTGGCTGTTTGCAAGGACGTTGCCCAGGGGACGCCCGGATGTGTGATGTTTTACCATCCTTGTGGGAGGCTTCTCTCATGTCCCCACATGGGGAGCTGGAACTGACTGACAGAGGGAGCTCATCCGTGCGCTCTCCGGATTTGAACCTCCAACCTGTCCTGCCGGCACAAGGGTTTAACCCACTGCGCCACCGGGGGTTCCTAATAACAACAGTAATAGTAGCAATATAATACTTGGGAAGTGTTCAACATGTGATCAAATATAAAAGCCAGAATAGTGATCTTATTTATTTACTTCATTTCTAACCCATCTTTCTTGACCTGAGAGGGGACTCAAGGCAGATAGATCTTGTCTGCTGTGTACTAATCTTGTTATTTATCAAATAATAATAACAACAACAACAACTTGGGAAGTGTCCGACATATGATCCAATACAACAACCAGCATAGTGATCTTGTTTGCTGTGTACAAATCTTGTTGTGTTTCAAATAATGATTATTTATTTGTACCCCGCCCTATCTCCCTGGGGGGACTCAAGTCAGATGCTTTGCTTCGAGAAAGGTTTCACATGCCCAGACTGCACCAGCGACTCCTTATTAAACAGGATATTCCGGCAGATTGTTTTGGATGCTAGGAAGTCTTATTACAGACTTTCGAATTGTGCTTTTCCACTTCTCTTGCAAAGTTGTAAAACTGTCAGGCTACTGCAGGGGTCCTCAAACTAAGGCCCGAGGGCCGGATACAGCCCTCCAAGGTCAATTACCCGGCCCTTGCTCAGGGTCCACCTAAGTCTGAAACGACTTGAAACCACACAACAACAACAACAACAATCTTATCTCATCAGCCAAAAGCAGGCCCACACTTCCCATTGAAATATTAATAAGTTTATATTTCTTAAAATTGTTCATTTTAATTATTGTATTGTTTTAAAGTGGTTTTTTTACTACAAATAAGATAAGCGCAGTGTTCATGGGAATTCATTTTTTTTTCCAAATTATAATCCGTCCCTCCAACAGTTTGAGGGACTGTGACCTGGCTCTCTGTTTAAAAAGTTTGAGGACTCCTGGGCTACTGGGATCCCACATCAGAAAGAGCCAGGGAAGCAAAATATAGCTTGACATACTTCAGATGCCTTCATACTCCAAAGGGCTGGGCTTTAGCACAGCAGGTTAACTGCCAGCTGCAATAAATTATGCCAATCAAAAGGTTGACAGTTTGAAGCCCGGGCTGGGGTGGGTTCCTGACCTTCTGCCCATCTAGCAGTTCGAAAGCAAAATGTGACTAGATATATAGGTACCGTTTAAAGCGGAGAGGTGTTTAAGGCACACATAAGGAAATGCCAGAAAAATGCTGGTGATTTGATCAAGGAGAAAGTTTATGAACAAAGCTCTTTGGCAGGGAAGATGGAGCAACAGCACTCCCCCACCTCACCGTGGCTGGAACCGAGCATAAGCCTGCAAGATGCTGAAGATGGGGAAAGCCTATATACCTCTATCTATGTATAGTTGTCTGTCTTGTCAGTGTATAATGGCATTTAATGTTTGCCGTATATGTGTTCTGTGATTCACCTTGAATCTCCTTTGGGGTGAGAAGGGCGGAATAAAAATACTGTAAATAAAATAAAATAAAATTCCATTTGATCTTAAAAGTCCTTGGATGGGAGACCAACAAATACAAGCTATAATGTAGAGGAAGGAAGTGCAGGTCTTCCATGCTTCTAAGAAAGCCCTGCGAAATTCATGGGGCAGCCGTATGTCTACAGGCGATGAACACACTCTCTGCAAGGAATATAGAAAACTTCTGAGAGGTGACTGACTTTAGGTTTTCTTTGGAAATTTCCTGCTTCTTCCCTGCCCAACTTTGCTGTTCAGAAGCTAGGATAATTTAGGCTGGGCCTGGCCCCTAAAACTGAAAGGACAGCTTGAAGTTTTAATCCAAGGCCATTTGTTGAAACAGGAAATCAAGTCGCCGAATCCAATCCCCTGCAAAACCTCTGCAAGGGGCTGACAACACAGTATGAAGATGACAACAATCCAAAAGGTCACTTAACTGTATCGTGATAAAAAAGGAAATACTATCATATCAGTCAAAGAATATGTGGCATCGGATCAAAATCTCACAGTAAGTGACCCCCAATTTTATTTTATTTTATTGTTTCCAAACCATTCCTTCAGGATGCTTGCCCAACTGTTTTTTTTTTGTTTGTTTGTTCAGATTCTGCTCTTGAAAAGGTAGCTCTGCGACACGCACCATCTTCCCCACAATGTCCCAATTTGGAATAAAAGAACACATCTGAAGGAGCGGTTGTGGGAAGCTGAGCTTTTGGCAACGTGGAGATTTCACTGGCGTTTCCAAACCTCCCCAAGGCTCATGCCTTTGACACTGGAGATATTCAGCACTATGGCGCCCCTCCTATAGGCCATCTATATATCATCATCAGCTGCTAAGGGACCCCTTTCATGCCGCCTGAATACAAGAGAGGCCACATTCCTCTGGGGCTGATTTTCTATCTGTGCAGAGCACGAATTTGGCCCAACTCCCCATCCAACTCTGCACACATTGAAAACAAGCTCTCCAGTATATCTAGGCGTTGCAGATTACTGCAGGAAGTGAGTCACAATGATGGACAAAATGCCTTGGTTCAAATATGGTGCAACCCAGTCAGAGAAACACTGGTTTTACTGGGCAGAATGAATACTTTACTTTCCTATTGGTCTATCTTGCTCTGTAATACAAGATGTCTACTTGGTGATATATATGGAGGTTTTCAAAACCCTGAAGCCAAAAACAGTATTTGCTGGTGAATGTAATGTATAGTGGCAAAAAGTGCTGTGAGTTTTCTGGCCTGTCTGGCCATGTTTCAGAAGCAATCAAGGCCAGCTAACACCTCCCAACAAAAGATCCCCCAAAGACAGCAATCAGCCAGGCTTTGAAGCTACAAGGCCATTCAATGCTAATCAAGGTGGCTAATTGCAACATTCACACTTGTCTCAAGCAGTCAAGAGTTCTTTCTCCCACGCTGGACATTCTGCAGATACATAAACCTCACTTGCCTAGTTTCCAACAAACCTCACAATCTCCGAGGATGCCTGCCATAGATGTGGGAGAATGCTTCTGGAACATGGCCAGACAGCCTGGAAAACTCATAGCAACCCAGCGATTCCGGCCATGAGAGCCTTCGACAACACAAAAAGTGCACTGTTTGTAATTTAGAACACCAAAGCTTCCAGCAATGGAAAGGGAAACCTTGGGATGCATCTATGCTGTAGAATGAATCCACTTTAGTTGCTTTAGTTCAATGCTATGGAATCCTGGGGGCTGTAGTTTGAACCTTCCCTGGCAAAGACGACAGATGCCTCACCAAACTACAAATCCCGGGATCCCATAGCATTGAGCTGTGGCCATTGAATTAGAGATAATGTCACTCAAATAGGAGCTCCAGAGGCTCCTTTTGCTCTGGCTCAGCACTAAGATTGCTGTATGATGCCAATCGAATGTGCACCCTGATTTTGGCAAGATCATTTAGCCAAAAAAGGTGAGCATTAAATGTGAGTAAATAAGGTATATGTATATACATATGGAGGTAGTAAATGCGGGTCCTGCAGATGGATATAACAGGAAACTACAGTTTATCTGAGTTGAGATAAAAGCACAAGTTTTAATTCAGACTCACCCCCGACCAAGGTCCCTCTTCTGCCGCCAGTCAAATTGCCAGTTGCCTCAAGCTTCAGCTTGATCTTAAGGTAAAATAAAACTACAACTACACACTTTTTTGCCCATGATGTCGTGAAAATGCATGTTGACAGCCTGGTCCACTGATTGTTCGTCCTCGAAAGTAATAAATCCAAAACCTAGCCAACGACGAAGAGTGAATCAAGGTAGCAGGGTGTTGTGACACAAAACAGGATGATGAACAGTATTAGGGGCGGACCTAGGGTTCGACCAAGGGTTTCAGGGGACATGGTTGTTTTGGGGGACTTTGCAGCTCCGTAAACCTGGCTAAAATTCCTTGCATTTCCTTTCCTCTCAATGAAAGAATGCTATGTTGAGTGTTGAGCAGGTCAATTGCATCGTTCTGGGAAAGCACCAAGGCCCAATTCAATTCTACTGATGTAACACGGACATCTTTCATAAAAATTCAATTTGCTAAAGCTGGAAGGTTTCGGACGTAATGCTCAGATATAAGCAAATTGGAAAAGGTGTCTATTTTTCCCTCCTGAAACCCGAGATTTCCCCCTTGGTTTCGTTTTGCTTTGCAGCTAGTGCTGACAGCAACCATTTATTGCTCTAAAGCGTTCAACAGGAAAAAAATAACAACACAAAATAAATAAGATACAGTTTCTGTCAGTTAGTGTCTCTCTAAGCTTATCCAACAGGGTTGGGTAAGCCCATGGAGTCTTATTGGAGAGAGGATTCATACTTAAAAAATACACAAAGATACAGGCCAAGATTGCAGCAGGTCAAAATTCTCCCGTCAGCAACAAGAGCATGAAACAAATCAAACTAAAAAAAAATTTAAGAAATGGAGGGTGAGGGGACTTTTAAAGCATTTCCTGCACACAAGGGGCTGGCTGCCTTCGAAGAATTAGCAGGCTTTTTGTCAACATGTCTGTCAGAAGTCTTAGTAAAGACCAAAGCGAGAAAATAGCCACATTTATATCCAAAGGTTTGGATTTGACTACAACTGGGACCAAGGGAATGAAGAGACAACAACAGAAAAGGATGTGCTTTGTTCTTAAATCAAGGCGAGAGAAAGAGAAGAAAAACTGGGGCCAGAAAGGAAGCACTTCTGAAACAAAACAAAGATGGTAGAGGGCCGGGCTCTAGCACAGCAGGTTAATCACCAAGCTGCAACAAATCTTGCCAACTGGAAGGTTGACAGTTGAAAGCCCAGATCAGAGTGAGCTCCTAACCTTCTGCCCAGCTTCTGCTTGCCTAGTAGTTTGAAGACAACTGTGAGTAGATAAATAGGAACCAAATTAAAGCGGGAAGGTATTTAGGTGCGCTTCAGTAAAGGATCGTTGCCTTGTCGTGGTGCTGGAGATTGAGCACCTCGATAATGCCACAAGCGAAATCACGAAAGGACACCCAAGACAGGAAGGTCATGGCAGAGAGATCAGACTAAATACCATCCCTGGGGAAGGTAATGGCAACCCACCCCAGTATTCTTGCCATGGAAATAAATGGATCAGTACAATCCGAGATATGTTGCTATACCATCAGAAGATGGGACTCCCAGGTCGGAAGATGGTCAAAATGCTACTAGGGAGGAACAGAGGGTAAGTTCAACGAGCTCCAGATGTGATGATGCTCCTCGGCATGGAAGACCAAGTGGCAGCATCCCTGTAACCGGAGTCAAGTACAGCCTCCAAGATGGTGGAAATAAGATGGGAAAAACTGCCTTTACCTCTGTTTGTGTTGTCTGTCCTTGCTAATTGTATAATCAGCATTGAATGTTTGCAGTATGTGTGTTCTGTAAGCTGCTTTGAGCCCCCTTCTGCAAATAAATAAATAAATAAATAAATAAACTGCAAAGGTGTTTTAAGAAGAACTGGATGAAGATTGTCATTCCAGGTTGGCCAATATCCATGCGTTTAAACTCATCCATTTCTCTCACTTCACCTACTGCTACTGTAAGTAGGGAGTTAAGGGGCAACTTCGTGAATTCTCCTGTTCGGAGAAAAGGCTAAGTTCCAACATGACAAGTAAGCTATAGTTCTAGCGCATTGTGGTCCAACAAGGGTATGGTCCACTTCACATAACATAAGGGAGACGCTCACTTGGTCCTTTCCAAAGATTATTGTATTCAAGTAAGGTCTTCTATGCCAAAGTAGGAATGGCACATCTATCTATGGTTTTATTGATACCTTATCGTAGTTCCACGATTTTGAAAACTTGTGTTACTTGTTAAAGTGGCCCAAGGCAGTACACAAGCATAGAATCATAGAGTTGGAAGAGACCTTGTGGGGCATCCAGTCCAACCCCTTTCTGCCAAGAAGGGGGGAAAATTGGGGAAAATGCGGACATATATCTCTATTTGTTGTCTGTCCTGTCCGTTTGATAGCATTGAATGTTTGCTGTGTATGTGTTCTGTGATCTGCCCCGAGTGTTGTAGTTTAGCCTCTGATTGTGCCTGCACCTGATCTCTCTGGGGATTCTGGGCCTGTAATTTATTTATTATTTATTTATTTCGGGTATTTCTATCCCGTTCCTTCTCAACCCCCGAAGGGGGACTCAGGACAGCTTACATTTGGCAGCAATTTGATGCTAGGAATTCTGATGACACTGGGGATTCTGGGTCTGCAAGTCAGCAGGAGCGCCCGCAAGAGATTTTAAGCCGTGAAAATGAGTGGTCTGTGTCTGAAGGCCACATTCCTGAAAAGCAGTTCACTAGGGAAGTAAAGTCAGAAACAGATCTGAACTCAGAGGATGAAAATGAAAGTCCAGGTGGACAGGCTAATGAGCAGTTAGATAGGAGATTTACATTCCATCAACATAGAGCTTTTCAGGAAAGTTTACAAAGGTCAAGATGCCTATTAGCCAAGAAGTCCTTATCAGGGGAGAAGGGATGATTTTCTCTCTATATTCGCTAGCCCAGCAGATGGGTCCGTTAGTCCAGGCAATGTTGGTGTTTTGGGTATAGAACTATTGTCAAGTCAGGCGATTTCTAATTCCATGTTCCATGTTTCCTTTAGTTCATGTCTCATGAGTCCAAGTATTGAGGACTATCCCTGAATCTCATGTTTTGGATTTATTCTTTTTGTATTTCTGGTTTTTGATGCTACTCCTATACTACTATTTCTGTGGATTATTCTTGGTATTTAGGCTTTGGTTTTTCATACTATTTTGCTGAATTGCTTTTCATATATATTCTTCAATAAACTGCTTTGCTATTTCATCCTGGGCTGGAGTGTGTGTTAAGTACAGAGGTGGTTTCCAGCCTTGGAATGCAACACTGAGTCCCCTTCGGGGTGAGAAAGGCAGAATACAAATGCTGTGAATAAATAAACTTAATACTCTGCCTACTCTTGCTCAAAAGTAAATTTTAGAAGACTATGACCCAAAAAATCCTGAGAAAGAATTAATAGCAAGGGAGCACTGGTTGAATCGAGAATTCATAGATCCCATCACATTAGACAGCGCAAGTATCATAAAGACTGTTTATACTACAATGGAGGCAAGAGATGATGGTGATGAAGCAGAATTTATCTCTCTGTTCTCCCTTAACAAAGGTGCTGCTAACTGGTCCATTGACCGAGGTCTAATGGAAAAGACTCCCTCACCAGCATTGAAAAGACCATCGCCTTCATGTAAAGAAATTATAAACATTCTTAAAGAGAGATCTGGCAGACTTCATCCAGCAGCTAAAGAAAATGTTGAATCTACAATGCATGACCTCACACAAGGTCAATACTTCCTAGTTGACAGCAGAAAAAATATTGGGTTGTTGGTCATGTTCCAGAAGCATTCTCTCCTGACTTTTCACCTGCATCTATGGCAGGCATCCTCAGGGGTTGTGAAATCTGTTGGAAACTAGGAAAATTGAGTGTACTTATCTGTGGAATGTCCAGGGTGGGAGAAAGAACTCTTGTCTGTTGGAAGTCGGTATGAATGTTTCAAATGGCCACCCTGATTAGCATTTAATGGCCTAGCTATTTCAAGGTCTGGCTTCTTACTGCCTGGGGAATCCTTTGTTGGGAAGTGGTTAGTTGGCCCTGATTGTTTCTTGTCTGGAATTCCCCTGTTTTTGAGTGTTGTTCTTTATTTGCTGTTATGATTTTAGAGGGTTTTTTTAAATACTGGTAGCCAGATTTCCAACAGACTTCACAATCCCTGAGGATGCCTGCCATAGATGCAGGTGAAACGTCAGGAGAGAATGCTTCTAGAACATGGCCATACAGCCTGATAAATCCACAACAACCCAGTGATTCTGGCCATGAAACCCTTTGATAATACAGAAAAATTATTTCAAAGAATGGATATGCTGCAAAGGGAAGTTTCTGGCCTAAGAGCTACCATTGGAGCTTTGGTTGATCTGGTAGATTTTGACTGCAAAACCTCCAGGAAATTGCCCTAGCCAAGAAAGGGAGAGCAATACTGGATCTGTATATTGCCAAGCTGACTATGAACGAGAAGAAGCCAAACTATCTGCAGAAACAATGGGCAAGCAACTAAATGACATAATGGAGGACCGGAACCTGAATTCCAGGAGATGTTCCCTAGTTGGAAATAACAATCAGTAGAGGAGAAAAAAATGTTTAAATGACCTGATTCCTCAGTGGGCAATGAGATTTTGAAATGGAGGCTTTCAAATAAAGGCAAAGGGGTCTGTTGCCTTTGGCAGCTGAAAAAAGTTGCTGCTCTTTGCTGCGTCCGTGAATTTTTCTGTTGAAACAGGGCAAAGCTGTCGCAAAACGAATTAAGGCACTGAAATAATAATAATAATAATAATAATAATAATAATAATTTACAAAGCACCGTCATCCCCTTCCCCGAGATCCCCCGCCCCAAATATGGAAAAAAAATTTCATTCACAATCCCAATAAAAGACAAAACCCGGTCCCTCCTCCGTTTGTAGGGAAATGGCCTGTACCTCTGTGATAATCTATCACCTAGAGAGAAGAAATCTAAAGAGATATTAATCACAAAACAGTTCACAGAGAAAGAGAGAGAGAAAGGAAGGAAGGAAGGAAGGAAGGAAGGAAGGGGGAGGAGAAAGAACTTAACGTTTACTGTACTTTTACTATGAAACACTTAAATATGTCACTAGGATGTATGTCTAAATTAAAACAAAAACTAAGACTTAACAGCTTAATAAATATGAAGTGAAAATAAATTTAGATATAGCTTTAAAATAAGAATGGACTCAAGGAAGAAGAGTGGAAAGTCCAGATGGCAAACTGTTTCCCAGCATTGTCTGACATGCTACTGAGGGGGTCATTGCAATGGAAGCAGATGACGTGTTATGAAAAATATTGTTTTTTAAGAGCCAATGGAAAAAGATGAAATGGAAAGCCGGACAACAGGACCACTGCTTTCAATCGGGACCAAAGAGAGGAAGATGCCTTTCGAGTTAAAAGGGAAGCTGCGCTCGTGCCCATAGGCTGGCAGCACTGCTTAGATCCTCAAGAAACAATATGTACTACACAGCGACTACAAGACACAGCTTTGGGCCACACACTTCAATTCAAGAGCAACGGACAAAACAGGACATCCATTCTCCCAGCAAGGAAGAACTGCAAGCCTGGATAAAGACACTTTAGTCAAATGTTATGGGGATCTCCAGTTTTCTAAAGGGAAGGGAAACAAATATGTAAGCTATCAGAAGCCTCATGTGTCTTTTCTTAAGGACAACCTCTTTGGGAAGGAGAAAGGGAAACAGAGAGACATGCAACACCGGACTCCGAAAGCAGTTGACACACAATAGATGGAACTGCATGAAAAGCGTCCCTAAGGGATGTGTTTTCCCGAGCCAAATGCATCAAATTAAATCAGGGACGTTTTTTGGGAGGGGAGGGGGCAGGCTGACATCGTACAAGTTTGCCATCTGATACAGGAAGAAGGCAAAAGAAATGTTCAAGGGCAAAGAAAAGGTCTCCTTTACCTCGGGGCCGCTGCTTCTCTGCGTCATAGATCATGACCACTTCGGTGACCTGGAAAAGAAAAAGGGGACAGCCTTCTAATAGTGTTACCGCACGAGGAGTGGTGGTGGTCTTGCAACGCAGCAGCAGGATAGCACCCCAAAGCAGCGAGGCAGTAAAGAGGCAGCCGCAGGCGGTTGCTAGAAAGTTGCCTTTCTCCAGGTCGTGCTTAATATTCCTTAAAAATGGGATACACAAGAAATAGCACATCTGTAATTCAAGGACTCTCACTTATGGGGGGGGGGGTCTCCTTTGAGGGTCCACCAATAAGGCAGAAGAGACAGATGATAACTTAAAACCAAGGCATCCTTTACATTCAACAAAAGGTGTACCAATCTCCAAGAGCAGTGGTTCCCAAACTGTGGTCCGCGGACCATCTGGGGGTCCGCAACAACTAAAATACGGTCTGCGGCCTCATCGTAACACAGCCCAACCAAAACAATTTTTTTCTTGATGGCTTCGTTTTGAGGCCTATTCCTGGGGTTATTTGGGGCGCTGATTCAGAAATTTGTAAGGGATAGACCACATCGGCTCTATATGATTAAATATAGTTTTCTGTGGGTGAGCAGATGGCGACTACTGGATGGCATATGTTCTGTATCAGAAACTAGAGCTGATGTGGTCTATCCAATGCGATTTTGAATCAGCTCCCCAAATAACCAAACTGAATCTAAAGTTGACCAAAAACTGATTTGTAACCCTTTTGATGCTAACATTGGAGAGTGGTCCCTGGTCAAAAAAAAAAAAAGGTTGGGAATCATTGTTCTAGAGTCAAACTTGAAAGAGACCACATGGGCCAACTCCCCTCTGCTAGGCACGACACCACCAAAGCCCTCCCAACAGACAGCCATCAGACAGCTAAAACACATATCATGGAATCCCAGAATCCTAGAGTTGGAAGTGATCCCAAGGGTCATCCAATCCAACCCACTTCTGCCAGGCAGGAAGATACCATCAAAGCATTCTTAACAGATGGCCATCCAGCCTCTGATTAAACACTTCCAAAGAAGATTCCATCAGAGTCCAAGGCAGCAGCAGCATATGCCACAACTGAACATCTCTTACATCTCTTGTATTGGTCCAATGTCTCCTAGTCTCCAGAGCTGCACAAAGCAAGCTGGCCGCCTCCTCAATGGGACATCCTTTCAAATATTTAAACATGGCTACCATTTCCCCGCTTGGTCTTCTCAAACATGATTCCTCCCCCACTGGCTGGCAGAAGCCCAGCCATGTCAGCTTCCTAGCCCTACCAAAGCCACTTTTCATGGGTCAGTCAGGAGCAAGACTGACGGAAACGCATCTGCTAGCCCCGCCAAAAGGCTTGGAGCCAGCATTTGCACAAACAACAGCCACAAGTTCCCCGCCATCTCTCAGGAGAGTGTTTTGGGGACCAGAGGGAAACTGCTGTAATGAAAAGAGATCGGCATGGATTTGCCCAGAGTGATGCTTTAGTGCTAATGCGAAAGGCATCTGGTAGGGTTTTAAGTTACCAATTGCCCATATAATCAGGAGGCTGTCGAACACCATTTAATTTCCACCAAATCAAATGCTCCGTCCCAAGAGGAAAGGATGCTTCCCAATTCACAGTCACCAAAGGGCTTCTCATTAACACAGACAGCATTGAAAAGGCAGGCCCTTTACCAAACATAAATAGGGGATTAATAGTGAGCTGGAGGACCAAATGTTGCATTGGCGTGGGATGAACTGAGCTTCCTGGTTCTTACAAATCACAGAATCCTGGAGTTGGATGCGAAGTCGTGAACCACCCAGTCCAACCCCATTCTGCCAAGAAGCAGAAAAATCACATTCAAAGCACTCCTGACCGATACAGCTTCTGTTTCAGAGCCTCCAAAGGAAGAACCTATACCACATTCCAGGGCAGAGAGTTCCACTGCTGAACAGCTCTCCCAGTTAGGAAGTTCTTCCTTATGTTCAGGTAGAACCGCCTTTATTTCCTGTAGTTTGAACCCGTTACTCCATTGTGCCCTAGTCTCCAGGGTAGCAGAGAACAAGCCTGCTCCCTCCTCCCTATGACTTCCCCTCACATATCTATACATGGCCCTAACCATGGCTCCTCTCAGCCTTCTCTTCTGCAGGCTAAACATGCCCAGCTCTTTAAGCTGCTCCTCATAGGGCTTGTTCTCCAGACCCTTGATATTTTCAGTTGCCTTCCTCTGGACAAATTCAAGCTAGTCAACATCTCCCTTCAATTGTGGTGCCCAGAATTGGACACAGTATTCCAGGTGTGGTCTGATCAAGGCAGAATAGAGGGGAAGCATGACTTTCCTGGATCTAGACACTAGACTCCTATTGATGCAGGCTAAAATCTCATTGGTTTTTTTTAGCTCCGGCATGACATTGTTGGCTCATGTTTAACTTGTTGTCCATGAGGACTCTATTTCACATGTACTGCTGTTAAGCCAGGCACCCCCCCCCCCCCCCCCCCCATTCTGTATCTTTGCATTTCATTTTTTCTGCCTATGTGGCGTGTCTTTCATTTGTCCCTGTTGGACTTCATTTGGTTCATTTTGGCCCATCATCTCTCTAATCTGTTAAGATTGTTTTGAATTCTGCACCTGTCTTCTGGAGTATTGGCTATCCCTCCCAATTTGGTGTCGTCTGCCACCTTGATCATCATGCCGTCTAACCCTTCATCTAAGTCAATGGTTCTCAACCTGTGGGTCCCCAGGTGTTTTGGCCTACAACTCCCAGAAATCCCAGCCAGTTTGCCAGCTGTTAGAGGAGTTCTGGGAGTTGAAGAAAAAAACATCTGAGGACCCACAGGTTGAGAATCACTGACCTAGAGCTTCCTGGAGAGAGCCAGAGGGCCTAGAGCAGTGGTTCTTGATCTGTGGGTCCCCAGATGTTTTGGTCTACAACTCCCAAAAATCCCAGCCAGTTTACCAGCTGTTAGGATTTCTGGGAGTTGAAGACCCACACATTTGGGGACCCACAGGTTGACAACTACTGATCTAAGTCATTAATGAAGATCCTGAACAGAACTGGGCCCAGGACGGAACCCTGCTTCTGGTACTCCACTCGTCACTTCTTTCCAGGATGAAGAGGAAGCATTGGGGAAAATCTCCCTCTGGTTTGTTTACTTAACCAATTACATATCCACCTAACTGTAGTTTTGCCTAGCTACAGTGCTGTTTAAAAAGCTTTCCAGGATTCCTTTCTGCATCTAAACCTCTCTCTAAGGAAAAAATTATAGGGGAAAAACATCTCCTTCATAGTTTGTATACATTAGCAAGTCCATATAAACCATAGAATCCCAGAATCCTAGAGATGGAAGAGACCTCATGGGCCATCCAGTCCAATCCCATTCTGCCAAGAAGCAAGAAAATCACATTCAAAGCACTCCTGACAGATGGCCATCCAGCCTGTTTCAAAACCTCCAAAGAAGGAGCCTCCACCACAGTCTGGGGCAGAAAGTTCAACTGCTGAACAGCTCTCAGTCAGGAAGCTCTCCCTTATGTTCAGGTGGAATCTCCTTTCTTTCCTGTAGTTTGAAGCCATTGTTTCATTGCGTTCTAGTCTCCAGGGCAGCAGAAAACAAGCTTGCTCCCTCCTTCCTATGACTTCTCCTCACATATTTATACATGGCCCTCATCATGTCTCCTTTCAGCCTTCTCTTCTGCAGGCTAAATGTGCCCAGCTCCCTAAGCCGCTCCTCGTAGGGCTTGTTCTTCAGACCCTTGATCATTTTAGTCACCTTTCTCTGGACACATTCCAGCTTGTTAACATCTCCCTTGTTTGTTAGGATCAAACTGAATTATTTCAACCATAGCGATACAGTACAAAACTCTAACATAGCTCCAAGACCTGAAACCAGACTCGAATTCAAAGGAGACCTCAAAAGAGTTCATCTTGGAGCCATGAGCCATTAAAGCAGCATCAAAAATGCATTAATTCAAAGAATAATAGAGTTGGAAGAGACCACATGGGCCATCTGATGCAACCCTCAATTCTACACTGTACATACATGCAACCTCAGTCTCAGGAAAGGGGAATGGGTTGGGATGGTGGATTCTGTAGTACAAAATATCTGGAACAAAAGCAGGATGGGAAAGGCTTCTACCCAGCAAGCCCAAAGGCCATGGGTGTAGGGGATAACTTCAGGCAATGTATACTCATGTAATAAGGAAATGTTGGTTGCTTACCTGCTTTGCAGAGTAGGGAAGAAAAAAAATCAAGGCAAAACAAAAACAATCTGCGAAGACAGCATGCATGGAATCCATATTGGCACACAGAAAGGTAAATGCTTAAGTAAAGCGACATGGGTCTAGAGAACAAATCGGATGGCAAAGGTGCTTCCGCTGTGGACTGGCATTCTGATGATGAGCCAGCCCTGGGGAATGATCCATAGCAAGAGATACAGAATTTTTTTAAAAGGCTAATGAGAGATTGAGCATGTTTTCTTTTCAAAGCAAGAGACAGCAACAGAAGCCACTTCCACCATGCACGCGCAAGCCACCAGAGTCACTCACCACGCCAAACTTCTTGAAGTATTCCCTGAGCTCTGTCTCGCCACAGTTGTGAGGGATTCCACCCACAAAAATCTTATTGGATTTGCTATCGCTCCTGGATCCTTTCTGCTGAGACATAAAGGGACACAATTTTGTACAGAAATTAAACTGTATTAGTTTAATCCTAGAAAGATCCTAGAAAGATCAATCAACCTGGGAGGCACAGTACAGCAACATCCAAAGGGCCACACATTGCCTGAATATTGTGCAAGTGGTATATGCACTTTCACGGATGTTGCAACTGTAGTTTTGTACTTCTCCTCATCTTGGGCCAGTCTTCAGAACAGTAGTTCTTAATCTTCCTAATGCCACGCCCCCTTACTACAGTTCCTCATGTTGTGGTGACCCCCAACCATAAAATTATTTTAGTTGCTACTTCATAACTGTAATTTTGCTACTGTTACAAACTGTAATGTAAATATCTGATAAGAAGAATGTATTTTCATTCACTGGACCAAATTTGGCACAAATACCCAGTACGCCCAAATTTGAATACTGATGTTTTTGAGGTTTTTTTGTCATTTGGGAGTTGTAGTTGCTGGGATTTATAGTTCACCTACAATCAAACCAAACTTGGCCCATAACTCCCATGACCAATAGAAAATACTGCAAGGGTTTGGTGGGCATTCACCTCGAGTTTTAGAGTTGTAGTTCAGCTACATCCAGAGAGCACTGTGGACTCAAAGAATGATGGATATGGACCAAACTTGGCACACACACTCAATATGCCCAAATGTGTACACTGGTGGAGTTTGGGGAAAATATAACTTGACATTTGGGTGTTGTAGTTGTTGAGATTTATAGTTCACCTACAATCAAAGAGCCCCTTGAACTTCACCAATGATAGAATTGGGCCAAACTTCCCACACAGGTCCCTCATGACCAACAGAAATACTGGAGGGATTTGGGAGGAATTAACAATGATTAAGGGAAGATGTAGTTCACCTACATCCAGAGAGCACTGTGAACCCAAATGAATATGGGAGGATTTGCCGTCTGTTTCCAAGAAGGAAGAGAAGGACAGGCGGAGAGATCTTCAGCCTTCTCTGCCAAATGGGGTTCCCAAGACCATGAGAAATATGTGTTTTCTGATGGTCTTTGGGGACCCCTCTTACGCCCCCTCATGACCCCCCAGGGGTCCCGACCCCCAAATTGAGAAACACTGCTGTAGAAAACTAATGCGAACAAAACAGCAGGAAACATATGCTGGGAGCACTGGTGTGGCTTTCTAATTGTTGATTGATATGGGACAATATGTCAGTGTGGATTTGTTAAGGGAAGCTCAGGACACACCAAAACCACAGGCATCTCTCCTTAGAGATGGATCATGGCTCGAGTTGCAGCCATCAAACTGCATGGAAATCCCATCACTAACAAAGGAAAGCCGTTTGCAGCAAACAGTGACATCTGGCAGGTCAGCTGGAAGCCGTGTCTTTCCTGCCAGCACACTTGAATTTCACCGTCTGCTCACAGAAAGGTTAACAAAGCTCCTCAGCATTTGGATGGGGGAAGATGCCAACAGCGTGGCAAGGGGACCAGAGCCAGGGAAAAACGCCAAGCAATGGCAAAACGGCTGCCTTACCCATCCCTCCTTTGGTCGTGTTCTCTCTGGCTGCATTCCTCGAGGGGTGCAGGGCTTTGGGTCAATCTGTTGAACAAGGAGGAGCATGAAATTGGAGAAACAGCAAGCCACAGCCACCTGAACGAGCTGGTCTTTGCCACCAGAATTTGACAAAAGCTGAAGGCAAGTACGACCAACCAGAACCCTTTGCCTCCTGCTCTTTTTCCAGAATGGTTTGAAGATACTTGCAAGGTAACTAGGTAAAAATCAACTGGAAGAATGCTTGCCAAATACATACACAGTTGCGTCTTTGGGTGACAGTTCACCATGTCTGCAGCCATCATAGCAAACTGAGGCAGATATGCAGACAAGTCAACATAGAACCTCATCACATGCAACCTCCCCCCACCCCATTTTTAAACACTTTGAAAAGAGTTCCTTGGCAAAGCATCGCAAAGCACCATCAAACAACGCAGACAGACTTCCACCTGTCAGTCCGTGATGACCTGTCAAGAAATGGGGCAACAGGAGACGGGGATAAATAATCTTCTGAGCATTGAAATGGGAGAAAGCAGGGAAAAACATGTGGGATGGGATCTGTCAAATTTCCCTGTGTTGAATCGCTTCAATGACGTGGAGTCAAAGGCGTTCATAATAGTAATAATAATTCTTTATTTATAACCTGCCCTCTCTCCCCAAAGGGACTCAGAGCGATTGACAGAAGTAACAAAAATGGCAAACATTCAATGTCAAAAGAAACAAATAAACAACAAACAAGGAAAACATGAAATGAAATAATTCAATATAACTTAAGACAAACAAGCAAAGAAAATGAGATCAAATAATTAAATATAACTTATAAACAACTGAAATCATGAGTGGAACTAAATAAACAAAAGTACAAAGGATCAAACTGGTTAAAACTATAGATTAAAATAAAGATGATGATAATAATAATAATAATAATAATAATAATAATAATAATTGCTCAATATATTATGTCAGCAGGCTAAGAAAGTATCCAATATCAAGGAGAAAATATGTATAGAAGGTGATAATCCTTCTCCTCCCCATAGGCTACATCAGGGGTCTTCAAACTTTTTAAACAGAGGGCCAGGTCACAGTCCTTCAAACTGCTGGAGGGTCGGATTATAATTTGAAAAAAACATGAATGAATCCCAGTGCACAATTTTAACACATATAAATTTATTAATATTTCAATGGGAAGTGTGGGCCTGTTTTTGGCTGATGAGATAGGATTGTTGTTGTTGTTGTTGTTGTGTGCTTTCAAGTCATTACAGACTTAGATTGACCCTGAGCGAGGGCCAGGTAAATAACCTTGGAGGGCCGCATCCAGCCCCCGGGCCTTAGTTTGAGGACCCCTGGGCTAGATTACACAGCTGGGTCTTTAAAAGCTTTTTAATGGAGAGGAGGGAGGGGGTCATTTTTAGCTCTTTAGGGAGGGAGTTCCAGAGGCAGGAAACGGCCACAAAGAAAGCCCCCCGCCCCCTTGTTCCCACCAGCCGCACTTGAGACAGGGGTGTGACTGAGAGCAGGCCTTCCTCTGCGAACTGCAGTGTGTGTGCTGGTTTGTAGGTGTGGGTGTGGTTTTTCAAATAGCCTGGGCCTGAACCATTTAGGGCTTTATAGGTAACAACCAACACTTTGTATTTATCCTGGAAGCGGATAGGTAGCCAGTGGAGCTGCCGTAACATGTGAGTCGTTTGCTCATGATACGATGCTCCAGTTAGTAACCTGGCTACTGATCTCTGAACTAGTTGCAGATTCCAAACTATCTTCAAAGGCAGCCCCATGTAGAGAGTGTTGCAGTAGTCCAGATGGGATGTAACTAATGCATGGACTACCATGGCCAGATCAGGTGTCTCAAGGTACGGGCACAGCTGGCACACAAGTTTTAACTGTGCAAAGGTACTCTTGGCAAATGCAGACATCTGAATTTCCAGAGTCAGCAATGAGTCCAGGATCACCCCCAGACTGTGGACCTGAGTCTTTGGAGGAAGTGTGACCCCGTCCAACTCAGGTTGTAATCCCATACTCCCATCCACTTTCTGACTGAGCAGGAGTACCTCTGTCTTGTCTGGATTTACCTTCAATTTATTAGCCCTCAATCCTACCAAGCACAGACATTTTTCTCCCAAAATCCTGCTTCGTGAGCCTGGCATGGTAATGTCTTGAAACTAATATAATCATTAGAATGCAGTATTTCATTTAAAGATATCACCAATTTTTGTTTTTCCTGTTCTTTCTCCTTCATAGTAATCTTGGCTTTCGAAATTGCATGACTGCTAGGTTTTTGTTTTGGACTTCCGTGATTGAAAGTAATGAGATTGGGAGGAATGGAGAGGAGCCCAGAAGCCTTCTGTCTCCTTGAGAGTAAGTGGATTGGAGGGGAGAGCAGAGGAGCCCACGGAGAGAAGTGGTGTACAACAATGCATCCTGTCTCCACTAAGTAGATGGTTGAACTGGGAAAAGGCAATCCTGTGTGATGGGGTGGCTATGAGTTTTTCAGGCTGTATGTCCATGTCACAGAAGCATTCTCTCCTGACATTTCACCCACATCAATATATCCACAGATATATAAACTTTACTTGCCTAGTTTCCAACAGACCTCACCTCTGAGGATGCCTGCCATAGATGTGGGTGAAACGTCAGGAGAGAATGCTTCTGGAACATGGCTATACAGCCTGGAAAACTCACAGCAACCCAATGATTCTGGCCATGAAAGCCTCTGACAACACGATAAATTTGCTGTTGGAATGCCACCCAAAGAAGATAATTTCTCCCACTTTCCCCTGTTATCCTCAGCTCCATCTAATAAAGTCCAGAGATAGCCTTTCACAGGGGAAAAAAGAAACAAGACTGCTTTCAATACAGCAGACCCAGGACCAGAGCAAGACCCATCAGTCACATAATCAGCTCCTTCCCTCATATCCGGCTAGACATAAAGAGGTTCCAGCTAAGGCAAACTTACATTTCGGCCATCTAATGTATGGGGCCTGCTGGCCAGGACTGTCCCGACACAGTTGGGATCTTTGAACTTGACAAATCCAAAGCCTCGTGACTGATTTGTCGTCTTGTCTTTCATTATCACACAGTCGACCACTTCCCCATACTGGGAGAAGTAGCTGCGGAGCGTTTCTGTCAAAGAAAAATACAAAATGCTTTTTGTTGAGAACAATCTAGTGGAGAAAGCAGGCAAAAAAAAAGCAATATTCTTTCCAGAAGAAACACAAAAAGTCTGTCGGCATCCTGAGCAGAAAAGGAACACAGCAATTTGGACATTCAGAGGGTTTTTTTATCACTTCCAATAGCCTTCTCTAGACATTTTCAAAAGGCTTATCATAAATATTCTGGTACAATTTATCTACCTAACATAGCTTGCTTTCAGAAAAGTAATAAAACATGCAGAAGCACTAGGTATTCTGTTTTGGTTTTGATCATGCCAATTGATCTACAAGGGATTGGCAATATGTCTCAATCACGGAGACAGTCAAATTACAATTAAAGCTGTATCCTTGCAAAGACTTTCTAAACAGAACCCCAGCTCCTTTAATCCACCAAATACCTGGTCCCTAACCCATCAAATAAATGGAGGATCTCTGTAGGCTTCAGTTTCATCTATGCTGATGATCATGCCATCACTGCTCAAGAAGGGAGCTTTGAAGTGGTTGTACAGAAGCTCTCTGAAGCTTTAGGTGCTCTTACTGCCTATTACAGGAAAAGCCAGCTGATTCCTAATCCATCAAAACACAGATGTGTGCTTTTAACCTTACGAACAGACAAGCATCTCGAGCTCTGAAGATTATCTGGGAAGGAATCCCACTGGAGCATTGCAGCACACCCAAATACCTGGGAGGTCACTCTGGTCCGTGCTCTGACTTACAAGAAGCACTGCTTGACTATCAAGCAAAAAGTGGGTGCTAGAAATAACACCATACAAAAGATGACTGGCAGAACCTGGGGATCGCAACCAGACACAGTGAACACATCTGCCCTCGTGCTTTGCTACTCTGCTGTTGAATACACATACCCAGTATGGAATACATCTCACCACGTTAAAACATTGAATGTGGCTCTTAATGAGACATGCCGCATTATCAGAGGATGCCTACACCCAACACCACTGGAGAAATTATACTTTAGGCAGTACTGCACCACCTGACATCAGCCGGGAAGTAGCAGACTGTAATGAAAAGGATTAAGGCATTTGTATCTCTGGTCCATCCTCTATTCGGATATCAGACAGCAAGCCAATGCCTTAAATCTACAGAGATACTCGCAGGAACACCTCAGCAAGCCAGAGTCCAAAAGTGGCAGGTTAAAACCTTAATCTAGTGGTTCTCAACCTGGGGTCCCAAGATGTTTTTGGCCTTCAACTCCCAGAAATCCTAACAGCTGGTAAACTGGCTGGGATTTCTGGGAGTTGTAGGCCAAAAACATCTGGGGACACCAGGTTGAGAACCACTGCCTTAATCAGTGGCTGATACCAGATGAGAAAGTCACTCCTGGGCACACCGAAGACTGGACCACTTGGAAGGTGCTGAACAGACTGCGCTCTAGTACCACAAGATGCAGAGCTAATCTTAAGAAATGGGGCTACAAAGCAGAGTCCATGACATGTGAGTCTGAAGAAAAGCAAACACGACCAACTACTGCAATGAAGCCTGAGCCCTGCCACATGCACAATGGAGGGCCTTCTTACAGCCACATCAGAAGCACTCCAAGTGGCCAGGTTCTGGTCAAAAGAAATTTTGCATAATGCCAAGTTTTTAACTTTGTTTGTGTTTTTTTTATAATTATAACTATTTTCTCAATTTAATTCTGACATGATAGATAGATAGATAGATAGATAGATAGATAGATAGATAGATAAATAAATAAATAAATGGAAAAGGTTCACAATCAATTCAGGAGATGCTTACCTTGTGTGGTGCTCCAGTCGAGGCCACCCACAAACAGCTTCCTGCAATTCAGAGAACACAAGTTAATACCAGGTCTGTTAAAATAAGGATCCTATAAAACACAATGGATGCATCATTCTTACAGCTAAAGCTGTACCCCTGAAAAGATTTCCATAACAGGCTTTAGTTTCAATGCTAAATGGAGAACCCAAAGCCGTTACCAACTCAGATTTTCTCTGCCTCATCTACAAAGCAATGCTCAAGTACACTGACACCTTGGAAATGCAGATGGGGGAAACGTCTAAACCATTAATGTAATTGGAAACACATACAGTATATTCTGGCGTATAAGACTACTTTTTAACCCAAGAAAATCTTCTCAAAAATCAGGGGTCGTCTTATACGCGGGTGTAGTCTTATGCATGGGAGTCGTCTTAATCTCTATATTTTAACTGGAAAAGTTGGGGGTCGTCTTATACACCCAGTCGTCTTATATGCCGGAATGGTATATCATTTTTTTTGAGAAAAGCAAAAAGAAAACTCATTTGGCCTATCCAATCATATCAAAAGGTATTACAATGATAATGTGATGTGTCTTTGTTATCTCCTTCGGCCCCACATTTCAAATCAGTTCATTATCTTTCTATCAGCTTTCATCAACAATATAGAAATGGGGAATACGATGGCATGGGCCATTCTAACTTTAGCATTCAGTTATTTATCTCGACACTTCCTTTGTTGCTATCCTTCCATTCCATGAACAACTGAGCCAAGGGATGAAAAGTCTTGAACCATTTCAATGTCTTCATTGTCCACTTTATAGTTACATAAATTATAATTTCTCTGAAGAATGTTCTTCACGGTCCTTTGTATTTCCTATCTTACTCCTCCCAACAGCCTGTCAAGATAAGAGTTTTGATATTTACATGTTACAAAATCAGTCGCCAACTCAAAAAGGTCACAGCTTGGTCTGAGATTTGGTCTCCAGTCTGTTGCCAATGCTGTATTCACAAAAAGCCCTGGTAACTTATATAAGCAAACCTTTTGCTTTCCCTCGAAATAGTTTTAGAAACACAGCCCGAGTCCTAGGAATCGTTTGGTTCCCTGGGAAGTGCTTCAGTAAGAGGTGTATAACTTACCAGCAAACGCCTTTATGTACATGAGGTTTTCATCCATTGAAAAAAGATTTCACAACTACTGCAGTGTTCAATTGACAGAAAATGTACATCCAAACAATTCCCAGTTAAAAGCCTAGACAGAAGGCCTTATGGAAACTCTTTGATGAACACTACCTTAATTTCCTAGACAAGGGAATAACAAACTTTTAAAACAGAGGGCCAGGCCAGAGCCCTTCAGACTGTTGGAGGCCCCAACTATAGTCTGTTCTTCTTGTTGTGTGCCTTTGTCTTCCTCTGAGGCCTAGCCAGTGGGACTTGCCCAGTAGGTTCAGAGCCACAGTCCGAGGTTCAAACCACTACGCCACACTTTCTGGATTCCTTCCCTCTGTTTCCTTCCTACATTTGTTTCTCCCTTCCTTCCCTGTTTCCTACCTACATTTGTTTCTCCCTTCCTTCTCTTCCTTCCCTCTCTGTTTCCAACCTGCCTTTCTTTCTCCTTTTATTTTTCTTCCTTCCCTGTTTTCTACCTACCCCTTTTTGTCCTTTCTGCTCTTCCTTCCCTCTGTTTCCTACCTATCTTTCTCTTTTCTTCTCTTCCCTCCCTCTCTGTTTCCTACTTCCTTTCCTTTATTTCCTTTTTTCTTTCTCCCCTCCTCCCTCCCTCCATTTTGGAGGAAGATAGAGAAAAGAAAGAAAAGGAAAGTTAAGGAGCACGAAGAGGATGATGGTAGTAGTAGTGGGGCATGAATGGTGGTAGTGGCGGGTCTGAAGTTTAGGGCATGGAGCCCCCGGTGGCGCAGTGGGTTAAAGCACTGAGCTGCTGAGCTTGTTGATCGAAAGGTTGAAGGTTAGATTCCGGGGAGCGGCGTGAGCTTCCGCTGTCAGCCCTAGCTTCTGCCAACCTAGCAGTTCAAAAACATGCAAATGTGAGTAGATCAATAGGTACCACTCCGGCGGGAAGGTAACGGTGCTCCATGCAGTCATGCCGGCCACATGACCTTGGAGGTGTCTACGGACAACGCTGGCTCTTCGGCTTAGAAATGGAGATGAGCACCACACCCCAGAGTCAGACATGACTGGACTTAATGTCAGGGGACTACCTTTACCTTTACTAAAAGACCTTGAGGGGCGAGATCCAGCTTATGGGCCATCGTTTGAGGATTCCTGTCCTAGACCAATCCCAGCAGCACTAGCAATTCAGGTGCACAGGAACACCACACTGAAATTTGAACCCTGCAACTGCCATATGATCATGGAAACTATATGATTGGCTCACTATCGTTGCTATACCAGTGGCAATTATAAAACCAGGCAGCACTCTGCTGAAACAACAGCATACCACGGAGTCTCGTTTTAATATATCATGCCAGGTCCCTCCAGTTTTGTTAGAGTGTTGTCCATTTGGTTGCATGTATATACACCTTGGATTCCCTGTGATATGCAAAAAGAAATTAAGGGTTTTTCAGCCTTGGGAAGCCTCAACATGGCTAAAAACATGGCATATTCCTGTTATGTGCAAGACAGGGAGGGTTTTTCATCCTTGGGAAGTCTCAATACGGGTAAGAAGTGGTATTATCACTGTCTCTATAGATAAAGAGAAAGTAGAAGAGAATGGGGGGTAAGCATAATTTCTAAGATCTTGCGTGCAAGCAGGGCCTCTGTAGTTGCCTCTCAGACTGAGGACATTCAAGGCCACTGAAGTATGTTTAAAAAACCTTCCACTCTACTTAAAGTTATCTAAGCGCCGGCTTTTAATAAGTCAGCAGCACGGCAAACGCCTTGCTCACATGTTCAATGATGAGAGCACACCGATTGGGAAATCATCAAGCAGACACAAAGCCTTCCTTTTCCACACACAACCATGTCCAACAAATAAATATACAATTAAAGATCTGGCACCACTAACACCCATTGCCTGTATTAAGCTCCAGCTCTGATCTAATTCTAGACCTAAAGAACTCCTTCCATCATCCAAACCCGAGTATTTGGGATGTGACAGAAGAACATTGGAAATCACATTGGTTTTGTCTATCTTGATCTCCTGAACAATTGACACAGTCCAGAAGTGTGTGGAGAACATTTTCAAGGAATGGTCCTAAAGAGTCCTTCAAGAGTCTTCATTAATCCGCACTTCCGTGTCAGCCCTCCTCAATCCCTGGAATTTTGCTATGGATGTAGCGGGGACCTCCTCAGACCAAAAGTGTGAGTTGATGCTATGGATGAGAGGAGAAGACAATCCTGGTCAGTCTACACCAGTGGTTCCCAGCCTGTGGTCTGTGGACCACCAGTGGTCCACAAGAAATAAAATGTAGTCTGCTGCATCACCGTTACTGCACTGTTGCAATGAGAGCGATTGGTCTTGCAAAACCCTTTTATAGTGCTGAAACTTAATAAATACGGTTTTCTGTGACTACTGGATAGCCTATGTTCGTATCGGAAACTAGAGCTGTTGTTGTCTATTCAATGCAATTTGCTGAATCAGCACCCCAAATAACCAAACCAAATCTAAAGTTGACCAAAAACTGATTTGTAACCCTTTTGGTACTAATGCTGAAGAGTGAGTCCTGCTCAAAGTGGTCCCTGGTAAAAAAAGTTAGAAACCACTGGTCTATACTTTCCTTTAGCAGGAAGGTTGCCTCCCACCTGATAGTTATCCCAGAACAAACCAGAATGTTTTCATGAGCCCTACAGTCAACAAGAGTGTCCTATTTGTATTCAGTTTGGCAAGAGAAGACCCAAGTCTCAATGCTTCTTCTCTCCACATACCAATCCTAAATTTCCTAGAAAAAGATGACATAAAATACGTGTAGTTTAATTTATTGATGTCCGGTTTAATTTACTGATGTTTTAATTTGATGTTAGGCTTTAATGTTATTTTTATATGTAGGGGTTTTCTGGGATTTTATGTTAGTATTTTGTGTTTTATGTAGGCATTGAATGTTTGCCATTGTTATGCTGGAATCCGCCCCAAGTCCCCTCGGGGAGATAGGACGGAATACAAATAAAGTTTTATTATTATTATTAAATGTAGATAAAAGCAAGCTTGGAGATCCCCATCCTCAGCCCATTCCCACTGTCCTGACAAGAGTCTATAAAGCACCTGTTTTTTTCTGCTCATAAAAAATAATTTAAAATTATGCAATCAGGGGAAATGGCTGAACAATGTGTGCTACCCCAGAAGAGTCCTCAAAAGTGGCGAAATATCACCAATTCTTGGCACTTGCACTGAGACACAGAATGATGGACTACGGTGGCGTTTTTTTTCAAGAAGCAAGATCTGCAAATTTATGAAGTCTCAGTCCTGTAAAAACCTGAGTTGTACTTGCAGCCTACCCACCAACCAGATCAACAGTTGTAATCCTAGAAGTTATTCCAAAGTTCAGACTGTCAAGGCCAGAGTGTTAATTTACTCCAGCTCACAATTAAAGACTTTGCAATGGGGGCAGCAAGTCCAATAATTTTGTTCAAATGCCTCCTGCATTTCAAGCAATGTTATCAGCTTAAAATACCTAACAAAATAGACAATGGAGCCATGGAACGGTCTTCACCTGCCAAAAAGAAGTAAAGGCACAAAAAGAGAACAGACCGTCCAGCTGGCAAACAAGCTATCAGAGAACTCCCTATGCAGACTGACATAATAGCCCCAATGGTGAAGGAGCCAGGTGTAATGCAAGAGGCAATGAAAAGAAACTGACATATAATTTTAAAAAATCTAATTGTGCCTCTGCTTCTCCTGGGAAATTGAAAACTTTCAATACAACACAAACCTGGACCAATGTGAAACACACAAGATAAGATGAGAATGCAAGACTCCAATGCCAGATCAGAGTATTTGTTTCCTGAGTGGCTCTTTGGGGATTTAGGCCAAGGGGAGTTTTTCCTGTTACCGGATACTTCCAAAACAAAATGCATTGAACCCAGAATATTCTGTACACAAAGCAGGT